TCTTTATCTCAATGCAGGGTGAAGTTCTAGAAGACAGTGTTTTACACCTTAGACTGCATGGCCAAGAGGACCTTGTTGATAGAAGCCCAGAGGGGGCAAATAACTTGTCCAAGATCATACAGTTCCTGGGCCACACTTAAGAAAGGAGCTGGAAAGAAAACTTAGGTTTCCTGACTGCACTTTGAAGTTCCTTCCAGCAGTGAGATTTTGTGATTTCTTGATGCTGATCCATTCTACTCTAGAGTGGCTTTCATCACAAAACTCTGATCCTCAAATCCCCTAGGTACCTTGTCTGCTTCCACTGGCTGTGGCCACAGCAGCTCACTCCTTGGCCCCTGGAAGGGGTAAAATTATTTTCTGGGGTATTTGGAAATATATTCTTCAGCCTCACTTCCCTAAGCTTCTGTAAGTCAGCACCCTCCCACCTCCCTCCCCTCAGGCCCTGTGACTCCCACCTGCACACTTTCCCTTTCCCTTCTCCCGGCTAGTGCCTTTCCCATCCTGCACCTCTAGTCTGGCCCTGGACACGGTCTTGACTCTGACAGGGACACAGTATCACGGGAATCATTGGAAAGATGTTAGAGACACTGCTCCACACTGTCTCCTGCAGACCTTGAGGGACTGTTCCTTCTCTCTATTGCTTGAGGATCAGGATAGATGTCAGGGCTCTCATTTGTTGAGCACCTAAGATGTACGTGTATTCCATGAGCAACCAGTATGTAGCAGGCACTGTGTAAGAGATTTACTCTCTCATGTCATCCTCACAGAATGGTCCAGCAAGGTAAGGATTATACCCATTTTATAGATCAGGAAATTGAGCTTCAAAAAGGTTCTTTATTTTTCTCTAGTCATAGAGCTAATAGAGGCTAGGATTAGAAAGGAAACCCAGATGGCTTCTAAGTCTCCTGTATAAGGGGTGGAAGAAGAGGGAAGGGATGTAGAAAGTGGGGAAATGTGAAACACCATCTTCCATCCCCTTCCTGGCTGCAGAGCTGAGGGGGTGAATATCACTGTGGATGTGATTCCATATCTTCCAATCAAACTTCAGAGAGGAGAGGTCACTGGGCCAGGGCTGCAGGAGGGTTAGCTTGCTGACAGCCCTTGCCGTGCACCCTGCTAGCTCTCAGTCTGTGCCTTTGTGATCACCTGGCTGCTTCTGGAAACTACCCAGTCACACCAAGGCAGGTGTCCTGCCCCTCCTCTCTGGGTTGAGGAAGCAGGAAAAGGTGGCAGTTAGAGGCAGTGGGCAGACGTGCTGGGCAACGGTGGCTGGATCTCCTGTTAGGATGGGCTTTCTCTGGGGCCTGGCTCTCCCCCTTTTCTTCTGCTGCGAGGCTGGGGTCCCCGGGAGCTCTGCAGGTAAGGAGGTATGGGCTTCTCTCCTTACCGGGCTCTGGATGTTTCTGTACCGGCAGCCCTTTGTGACTGATTAATTAGAATTAACCATAAAGCTACATCTGAAGTATTACTATTGTTGATAAAGAGTGTGCAAATAGCAGTGTGTCAGCTTACACATGTACGACGCTGCAGCCCTAGGATGAGCGATGGCCTTGTGCGGTGGCTGCAGGCTGTCCTCTGAAGGGACTGATTGAGGTGGAGGAGTGGGAGGAGCCAGGGAAGTACAGGCTGGGGATAAATCTGACTAGAGCCAAAGAAAGTGGCTCAACAAGATTCTAACGCCTCCAAGTTTATTTCCTAGCCCAAATTTCCTTTAAAAAGCAGTTTTTGTGTGAAAAGTCTAACAGTTACAGACTGCTTGGGGAGGGCGGATTCTGAGAAGGGCAGGGCTTTTATGAAAGAAGAGACTAACATGGATGTGTCATAGGAACTACGCTATGTTTGTCACATGCATTGTCTTTATTTTTTTTTAATAAACTTCTTATTGTAGAGCAGTTTTGGGTTCACAGCAAAACTGAGCAGAAATACAGAGATTTGACTCACATATAACCTCTGCATCCCCCATACATAATCTCTTCCGTATGATCAACATCCTGCATTATCTTTTCCTTAAAATTTTTTTGATGTTTAATTATTTTTGAGAGAGAGAGAGATAGAGTGCAAGCAGGGACGGGGCAGAGAGATGAGGGAGACACAGAATCCGAAGCAGGCTCCAGGCTCTGCTGTCAGCACAGAGCCTGATGCTTGGCACAAACTCACAGACCATGAGATCATGACGTGAGCCAAAGTTGGGTGCTTAACTGACTGAACCACCCAGGTGCCCCATCTTTTTTTCTAAAGACTATTTTTTAGAGCAGTTTTTGTTTCACAGCAAAATTTACAGGAAGTTACAGGGACTTCCCATATGCCTCCATGCACCATCTTTTTAATCCTCACAGTAACCCCATGAGAGAGACATGGTCTTATTCTTACTCATTTCTACAAGACGGGACTGAGGCTTTCCAGGACTAAGCAACTTATATGCAAAGCCAGGATGTTATTCTGCACGTGGCTAGCCACTGGACCACATGGTCGGCATGCACTCATGACCTGTCAGGATTGTGTTGCATATTTTACATTTAATTGAACCTAATCTTCACAACCCTATGAAATAGGTACCTTTAGCTCCATTTTACAGATGAGGAAAATGCAGGCTGGAGCCAGGAGACTTGGCCGGGGTCACGTGATTGGTAAGCAGTGGAGCAAGCAGCAGAGAAGGGACTCAAACTCAGGGTCTATCATACACATGCCTTCCTCTCTGCCTGTTTGATCTGAGGAGTGGACCAGGAGAGCTGCAGATTCTAGAGCCTTAGAGGACCAGGTAGGCTTTGCTGTGTTTGAGAAACCTCCGGTGGGTAGGAGACTTGGGTGGGGGGTGTGAGAGCTCCAAGGGGTGTGAAGAGGCTATGGGTTGGGAAGCATGAGGAAGTTTCACGGCAGGATGGTATCACAGGATTCCTGGAAAAGGAAGAAAATACTTCAGGGGAGATGGATGGTCGGACCCCAAGAGCACCCCTGTTTGGGCTTTAGGCTGAGTGGGTTGACGTTGAAAGTCTTTTCTTTCACCATATGGGAACTGAGGAAGCTCAAAGAAATACCTTGGGCTTTGAAGTGGGGAGAAGAAAGTATATTCTGTAAAAGCACGATTGCAGAACAACTGGGAGTGCATGCCATGACTGACCTGATATGCATGTGAGGACAGCCTGACATTCTTATTGCATTAAAGTCCATTGTGTGCTCTCAAGTAGCTCTTTGAGAGGACAAGGCATGGGAGGAATGCTTAGTAACACCTTGCAGTCTTTGGAATATAAGACTTTCCTATCCCCCTTCTCCTTGGTCCTCACCACTATGGTAACCCTTTTTCACAGGGAGGAAATGGAGGCTTGGAGAAGTCTGGTGACTGACTTTGTTGGTAGGAGGCAGGGTCAGGATTTGAACCAATTAATCATTGGACTCCAAAGCTAGTAGGCAATAAGCTTGGGGCTGGAACCCAATCTTTTGCTTCCTGGCCCAGTGCTCTTTTATTGTTCAGAGAGAGGACCTGGAACCCTGTCCTGACAACCAGCCAGGGTAGAGGTGACCAAACAGTCCTGTACTTTCACTGGGTCCTTGGGTACTTTTGGGCCTGTAGACCTCAGTAAAGACCATCTCAAACCATCAGAACCCAGAAAAGGGAGGCTTACATTTTGATTCTTTTCCTTCCAAGAGTAAGGTTCCTGGATAAAACACAAGGAATGTGCTTAAATTTGAATGCCAGGTAACAAAGCTTTTTCTAGAAGTATGTCTCAAATACTACACGAGAAATACACATACTGAAAACATTTGTCATTAAAATTATTCCTTGTTTATCTGAAATTCAAATTCGAGTTTAACTGAGCAGCCTGTATTTTTTTTTCTTTTTTTTTTTTTTTTTTTGCTAAATCTGGCAACCCTCCCCAAAAGAGTCCCTGGCCCAGTTACAGAGAGAGCCATTCATCTTTAGTTGATGGGACAGGCACACTTGTCAGCCCATAAAAAGATCCTGCTGTAGCCTCCCCAGGGCCTCATGCAACCTCGCAGGATCCATCAAGTGAACAGGGATGCTCTGCCCTGTGGAGCACTACTAGTGGCATCTCTAAGGAGAGTAATTTACCTCACTTGGTTCCCTGTTACTGGAGGAACATGCCTGGTGCATCATTTCTGTAGTTACTAGGAGGAGGCAGACTCAGGTGATGGGACCCCAGGGTCCCTTACTGGAGCCCCCAGGACTCTGCCTGCTGTTTTCCCTGTTGCAGTAGTCACCACCCTCTGTCTCTCCCTCCAGTGCTCCCAGCTACCTCTAAATACAAAACCACAGATGTTTCCTGTATTAGAAGATTTTTCACTTCCATGAGGAAACATTCGCTGGATGAGTAAAGTATCTATGGGAAAGTGACAAGGATTCTTTGAGAAGGCTCTGAGAGTTGTGGTTTCTGCTCTGTAGTTCTTGGCTCTCTTGGAGTTCTGCCTCCTTTTTTCCCCACTTGAAGCTAGATCCTGGCCCCACGCATTCCCCTTGATGGCTTCATAACAATAATCAGCTGGATTCAGAGGCTTGCTTGCCTCAGGTCATCAGAGGACATCAGTCAGGTGATTCCAGTTCCATGGCTGATGCATGGGACTGGTCTTCCCAATACCACCTCCTTTCTTGTATGTATAGATGAAAAATGGAGTAAAAGCAACTTCCTCTCTCCACCTTCCTCCTGGTATTGCTCAGGGCATAAACACAAGAGCTTGTGTGAAGTCAGTCCAGGGGTACTAATGACTTACAAAGGTGGTCTTACCTAATACAGGTCCCAGCACCAGTAGACCAGGTCCTTTGGTGCCAACAAACCATGTAGAAGTGGCTACCATGACTCCGGGGATCAGGACAAGTTCACAGGGAGCCTTCCAGGCCACTGACCTTGTTGAGACCTCTACGCAAAGCCACATCCCTTTGGAAATTCAAACCCTGAGCCCCCAGACCTTTGATAGGACCTCAATCATGACCAGCACCATTTCAGGAGCAGGGATCAGGGAAACCAAGATCATTTTTCCTCCAACAGAGACCAAGGCCTTCACAAAAACGGTATCTTCCAAACTCATGGTTGTGATCACCACTCCTACGGAAGCGTCAGCCACAAGGGGCAGCCCCATGGGAACTGGAATGATCACAGTTGAGACTGTTACAGGCACTGATCTTGTGGAATCTGTCCTTGACACCCTTTGTACAGATGACAACTCAGAGGAGGCAAGGAGGATTGTAAATGACATCTTGACATTGGCTCACACTTTTGCAGAAGCCAAGGCCCTGGCCTTGGAGAGCAGTGCCGTCTCTAACAGCTCAGTTCTGGCCATTGCCACCTCACAGACCCTGGCATCTGACGCTGCTGCTCTGGCTAAAGCCTTGCTCGCCTATACTATCACCGACACCAAGGTTATCAATTGTAGCGTTATAGAAATAGAAACAACTACCACCACTCCTGGGACCTTGGACATAGGTCATGACCCCACAGGAGCAAAGGCCCTGTCTCCCTCTGAGATGTCAGCTTTGCTTGATTCCACGGAATCAGAATCAGACTCCCTGGAGACCATGACATCTGCTGAGACCTTGTCAGGAGCCACAGAACCAGCCATGCCTGATACCACAGTTGAGACCCCACTACCTTCTAATAGCACCATAGAGGGAGGAACAGCAGCAGCAAAGACCACCAGCCCCAGCACAACTTTGGTAACTGTCAGCACGAACCCCTTGGAAGAAACTTCAGCCCTCTCTGTTGAGACAAGCCACACTGAGAGCTCAGTTACAATCTCCACACGGGCTGGGTCAACAGTGGGCAAAGTGACCTCCCCTGCTGGGCTCTCATCTATGGCCTACAGCCACACCCAAGTAGCCACTAGCAGGAACCCCATTCCCTCAGAGACTTCAACCACAGACAGCACAACCAATGGGTCCACCCCCATCAGCAGGAGCCCCTTTCCTCCTGTCCATCTGACTGTGGCTAACAGCAGCCCAGAGGCAAATATCACCTTAGTCAAGACCTTAGCAAGGACCTTGAAGACAGCCAGCATGACTGGAGGGAATCTCCCAACAGCCATGCCCACCACTGCTCAGACAAAGTGGGCCACAGAAGTTACTGCAGGTAAGTAGCTCCTGGAGGTGCGATCTGGGGGGGGTGGGGGGGTGGGGGTTGGAGTTTCCAGGATGTCTACATGCTTAAGGAGTAGGGAGTAAGGAAGGAGGCTTATTCTGAGCCCAGTCTCTGAGGTCACCTCTTCATGATCTAGTGATTCTTGCCAAAATCAGAAACAGGCAGAGTTAGGGTGACATATGGAAAAACTGTGGGGCTGGAAGTCTGTAGAAATAGTCTGAGATCCTGGTTTCACCCTTTACTATCTAGTGACCTAGGACAGGTTCTTCCCCTCTCTGGGCCTCAGTTTCTCCACTAGTAACTGTAGGGGGCTGTGAAGGATGAACAACGATGTTCATTCCACCTCTGCCCTTCTATGACACTAACCTTTGAATAACTAATGCGTGCCAAGTGAGGCCCCAAATTGTATTCAAAGGCCACAGTCCTCGTGCTCTGGAAGCATGAGCAGCCAAAGCCACACAGAGGGGCACCATGTAAACATCTGGCCCAAGTAGCTGCCCCCTGAGCAGCTGGGACCCCATAAGAGTCTGTGGCTGGGGTTGGAGCCAAAGACAGTGACTTTAAATAAATAAATAAACTGGGCAAAGGTTTGGGCATTTAAAGCTACATGTCTGAGACAACATATCCTTCTCAGGGGTGAGGCACCCTCGTCAGAGGCTGCTGGGTCGGCCCAGCTCCTGGTCGGCTGGGAGCCTCCACCTTCACTTCCCGTCACTGTCCTTGTGACTTATGCCTGTGGTGTCCTCAGCTAGCCCTGACTCTGTGGGGAGGTGAAATAAAAATATTGATCACAACCACCGTACTGACCATCTTTTGTATTCCAGGCAGAGGTGATATGAAAATATTTCATAACCAGTGAAGCATTGGCACCGGCTGAATGTTCTCACTGATGTCAGGCAGTGAACTATGAGTTTTGCACATGTTATCTCTTCTAATTAAACCTTCAAAACCACCTTAATGTGTGGGTATTATTGCCCCACCTGACAGATGAGGAAACTGATTTAAAGATGCTAAAAAGAGGGGTGCCTGGGTGGCTCAGTCGGTTAAGCATCCGACTTCAGCTCAGATCATGATCTCACTGTTTGTGGGTTCGAGCCCTGCATCTGGCTCTGTGCTGACAGCCAGCTCAGATCCTGGAGCCTGCTTCAGATTCTGTGTATCCCTCTCTCCATGACCCTCCCCTGCTCGCTCTGTCTCTCTCTCTCAGAAATAAATAAAAAGCATTTTAAAAAATTAAAAAAAAAAAAGATGCTAAAAAGATAGCAGTGGGACTCCAAATGGAAGTCTGTTTGATTCCAACTCATAGTCTCCCATTGTGCTTTTATTTTTTATATTTTTATAATTTTTAACATTTTTTTTTGAGAGACAAAGACAGAGTATAAGTAGGGGAGGGACAGAGAGAGAGGGAGACACAGATTCCAAAGCAGGCTTCAGGCTCTAAGCTGTCAGCACAGAGCCCTACATGGGGCTCAAACTCACAGACCACGAGATCATGACCCGAGCAGAAGTTGGATGCTCATCCGACTGAGCCACCCAGGCACCCCTGTGCTTTTACTTTTTAAAGCTCAATTTATTAATATATCTTTATTTTAAAATGCTTTTCTTTATTATTTGTTTGATTTGATACTGCGTTGACATGATTTAAAAGTCAATAGGTTCATAAGGGGTCAGCATAAAATGTCTTTCTCCCACTGCTGTCTCCCAACTACCCAGCTTCCATCATACACATAACCGACAGGATTATTTTCTTGTGAATCTTCTCGCTGTGAAATATGCATGCGGCAGCAAAAACAAGGAAGATAAAATATCAATATTGATATCTCTATCGGTCTATATAAATATAAAAGTGCAACGACTGGATCAGTTCTGACAGTACTCTGATGGGGGGAAATGACTAAAACAGGGCAGTGAAGGCAAGCAGGTTAGGGTTCAACGAAAGGCAAAACTTACCCACAGGGCTGCTAAATTGGGAAGGCTGGATGGAAACCTCCGCCAACTTGGAGCTGGAAGCATTGGCTGAGGGCATCCCCTCCAAGAGCCGGCCCCTCTCTGGCATTCTCCCTGTCTGGACCCTTACCCAACAGGCCATTTGTGACTGCCAGTCCTCAAGAACATTCTAGATTCACTTTGATTTCTCCTTCCTCACACTACTTTTTGTGGATGGGCCCTTTAGCCATCCTTTCTTTCAGTTTTGTTGGGAAGACACTGCACGGAGCCCAGTTATGGGAGAGACAGAATCCTCTTTCTCTTTGCAGTGAGTAAATGTAAGCTTCCAAATGAACACAGACACATTTACACGTGAGAGTGAGCACATATGTGCAGAGGTGAGGACAGAGGCTGGGTGGCACAGGTCACGTCATGATTCCTGAACTGACTTACCCATAGTTTCATCTGCTGTTTTTTTAAAAACTTGCAGGTGGAGATGGAGGCTTTTTCCTTCTGCGACTGAGTGTGGCCTCCCCAGAAGACCTCACTGACCCGAGAGTGGTGGAGAGGCTGATGCAGCAGGTGAGCGGGCACTTTCTGGGCCAAGAAAGTAGAGGAAAGAATTAGGAACTAAATTTAAGGATCCCTGCTTGGCTTGGCTTCTGCCTGTTTTTCCTGAGTGCTATGTAAAGCAATTCTTTCCTTCAGCACCAATTTCCTCAGGCCCTAGGAAGGTCAGGCCTTCTGGCCCTTGGGAGAAGATCAATGATATTAATGGGCCGATAGGTAGGACTTCGGGTTACAAGTAGCAAAAACTAACTCATTGTAGCTTACACACAAAAGGAAAGGTATTATTGGCTGAGAAACCTAGAAGTGACTATTCCATCTTCAGTTATGGCTGGATCCAGCAGCTTAGACATTTCTCTTTCTCTGCCTCTCTTAGCTTTTCATTCTTCAGAATCTTTCTCCATATTCATAGAGAGGCAGCTGTAACAGCTCTGGAGTCACAGGTACTTCCCTCTTCCAAGGTCTGCATATTATACTAAAGAAACACTGATTTCATTGACCTGCAAAGGTCACTATGACTGACAGCTCAACCACATGGAATGAAAAGGACAGGCCCCAAAGGAAATAGGAATGCTAGACAGAGAAACACCCTATAGATGTATGATCCAGATAGGGGCCAAGATTGGGATATATTTGTATTAGGAAAACTCTCCTAAGGCCTGGATCACTGGACAAAGTTTCCAATGGTGGAATTCTGGGGTCAGAGCTTGTGGGGATGGAATGAAACACTGGAAGATTTAACCAGGTCAGCTCAGCCTCGCTCTTGTGCGCACATCTTGCTGCCAGGGGATGAGAAGAGGAAGTATCTGGGCTCATGAAGTTCTCTTAGGGGAAAGGGGCCCATCAGGGTTCCCATAATGAGATCTCTGAACACAGTATGGGGGTTTTGAAGCAGGACAGCCAAGAAAATGACACATGCCTACTGCACTTGATAATCAAAGCAGCAGGTGTGAATCCTAGTCAACGAGGGAAGCCAGAACGGTGCCAGATCTGAGTCCCCCAAACTGAAAACTATTTCAGGGTTCAGAAAGTGGGCGTGGGGGGGCACCTGGGTGGCTCAGGTGGTTAAGCATCTGACTTTAGCCTAGGTCCTGATCTTGCAGTTTGTGAATTCAAGCCCCACATAGAGCTCTTTGTTGACAGCTTGGAGCCTGGGGCCTCTTTTGGATTCTGTGTCTCCTTCTCTCTCTGCGCCTCCCCCACTCATGCTCTGTCTCTCAAAAAGAAACATTAAAAAATATTAAAAAAAAAAAAAAAAAAGAAAGAAAGAGGCCAGGAAGAGAGGACAGGTCAGGAGCTGAGGTATAGGAATCAGGCCATATAGGTGTTAGGCACGAACTCTTGTTGGGAGCAGGACACTGATGTAGGGCTCAGGGTTCAGGACTCAGACAAACAAGTTTGGAGCCATATAGATCTGAGGGTGAATTCCAGTTCCTAACTGTGTGACTTTGAGTAAGTTACTCCATACTATTTTCCTATCTTATAAAATGAAGTGAATACTACCTGCTTTGTAAAGTTATTGTGAGGTCAAACGGCATTATGTGCATGAAACACCTAGTTCATGCCCCGCCTGTGGGGGCCCAGGAAGTGTTGCTGGCCTCCTCATACGTTCTCTCCCACTGTCCCTTCCTGTCCCCGGCCTGTGCTGAGCTCATGGGCCAGGCGGGCTGGAAGAACCACCTGCTCCTTTCGCCCTGCAGCTCTTCCATGAACTGTGTACCCTCATGCCTCCCATCCAAGTGTCTCTGCTGCGCGTCAAGAGGGACTAAGGACCATCAGCTGCGGCCAGGCGTGGTTGTGTGCCAAAGGGGGCAGTGCTGCCGGCGTCTGGGCCCCCCACCGCCTGGAGCCACGTCACTGCTACTGCGCTGAGATGCACCTGGAAGATTCCCTAGAGGTCAGCTGGCCTAAATCCTTACCCCAGACATGGCAGCGGTACCCTAAGGCACATATGCCTGAGTGTATGTGTGTGTGTGTGTGGGGGGGGTTCCAAAGATGTTCTCAGACTTCCTTTGGCTCATGTGTTGTGTTTCAGTAAAGAGTGACTTGATCACCCACTGTCACCTGCTTTGTGCTTCCATCGGACATCAATATTACACTCAGTGTGGTCCAGAGATTATCTATTTGATCAGTATGTGGTGTGTGGGGTTTTTTTTTTAATTTATTTCTGAGAGAGACAGACAGCATGAACAGGGGAGCGTCAGAGAGAGAGAGGGAGATACAGAATCTGAAGCAGGCTCCAGGCTCTGAGCTGGCTGTCAGCACAGAGCCCGACGTGGGGCTTGAACCCACAAACTGTGAGATCATGACCTGAGCCGAGTTGGACACTCAACCGACTGAGCCACCCAGGCGCCCTGGTTTTGGTTTTTTTTTTGATATTTATATGATACAGGGGTTTTGTGCATCCTCCCCTTACATTCCTTCATTCGCTCCTGATTTTTGGTTTGGACCTTGATTACAGCGCTTGCTGAGGCTGGTCCTGGAGGCTGTTGAACTTTGAGCTCCTTCAGAGCAGGGACCATATTTATATCTTAGTATCCCCTGAATCTAGCAGAGTGCCTGGCCTGTAGGAGGATGACAGAGAATGTTTGCTGAATTGACTTGAATTTCAAGTTCTGGACACAAGCAGATCACAAGAAAGTCTGCAATACTCAAATGTTCCTCCCCTCTAGCTTGGCATAAGTCAAGTTGTTATTATTAGAAAAATTAAATGTGGCTAATCTTTTTTCTATTGTAAAAAACTTGCTTATGATTTTAAAATTTTGAAAATTTTCAAAGCACTAAGAAAAGAAAACAAAAATGGAAAGAGGAGTAGAAGAGAAAGAAAAAAAATTTCTAAAACCCCTCCTCCTATATACAACTATTCTTAATATATATATATATTCAGCCTCTCTGGTCTGAGATACCTCACATTCAATATTTCCAAAATCAGAGTGTGTATACGTGCACAAACACACACACATACATATTTTATTTGAAAGAGACAGTGTGTGAGAGAGAGTATGGGAGAGGGGAAGAGGGAAAAAGAGAGAGAGAGAGAGAGGGAGAATCCCAAGCATGCTCCATGCTTAGCATGGAGCCTGATACAGGGTTCGACCCTACCCACGACGCTGGGATCATGATTTGAGCTGAAATCAAGATTCAGACACTCAACTGACTGAGCCACCCAGGTGCCCCCCAAATCAGTCTTTTTTTTAATGTTTTATTTATTTCTGAGAGAGAGAGAGAGAGAGACAGAGTGAGCAGGGAAGGGGCAGAGAGAGAGGGAGACAGAATCTGAAGCAGGCTCCAGGCTCTAAGCTGGCTGTCAGCACAGAGTCCGACGCGGGGCTCGAACCCATGAACCATGAGATCATGACCTGAGCCGAAGTCGGACGCTTAACTGACTGAGCCACCCAGGCGCCCCCCAAATCAGAGTCTTAATCTTTCCCCCAGACTTGCTCTGTCTGTATCTTCATCATCATGTCAATTATATCCTTCAGTTGCACGACTCAAAATTTTTGAAACCATTCTTTATTCCTCTGTTTCTTTCACACTTTACATCCAACTCATCAGAGAATTCTGTTGGCTTTGCTGTTGTCAAAAATATGCCCACAGTCTGACCCTTCTTCACCATCTTTACTGCTCTCACCTGGTCCAAGCTGCCATGATCTCTCATCTGGATTACTAGCATCCTCCTAACAGGTCACCCTCTTTCTACCTTTGCTCCCCCACCCCCAGTGTAGTCCCAGCACACCAGCCAGAGCTGTCGCTCTATAATGTAGAGCCACTCCTTGGCTCCAAACCCTCCCATTTCATTCAGACAGAAAGCAAAGGTCCAAAATTGACCTGCAGAGCTGTATGCAATCTGTGCCCCTCTACCAGCCTCTTGAACTTGCTCATTGCGCTCCAAAAACACTGGCCTCCTTGCTGTTCTGTGAATGCCTCAGGCCTTGAATGCATGCTCCTACCTGGGGATATTTGCATGCATTGCTCAGTCTGCTTAATATGCTTCTCCTGCAGATATATACTCGGCTAACACTTCCACCCCTTTCACTCTCTCAGTAAGTCTGCCTGACCACCCCCTCTACTTTGATTTTCTTCGTAACACTGGTTACAACCTAACATAATATATATTTTATTTATTTGTCATGTTTACTATCTGTCTCCCTCAACTAGAATGTAAGAGTTTGCTCACTCCATTATACCTAGCATCTAGGACAGTGGTGCTCAGTAAATATTTGTTAAATGAATGAAGTAAGGCAACTTTGGATATTCCTGTGCATAAGGGGAAGTGTGCTTATTCAACTGATCCCCTTCTTGCAGAGCGGGGCAGAATGAGTTTTATAAAGTAGGTTGGACAAAAATAATGGAAACCTTCTTCCCCGTGTATTTGTTGAGCACCGACAACAGAAGAGAGACCATGTTGTGTGCTGTGGGGGAATTCAAAGATGTCTCTTCCCTCAGGGGCTAAAGTTAGTAGGGGAGGAAAGACATGTACAGAAATAACAAACTGAAAGAACTTATTTACACCACATATAGAAAACCAGAATCTCCTTAATACACAAAGAACTCTTACAAAGCAATAAAAAGGCACACACACCAATAGAAAGTAGGAGTATAAATGCCTTCCAAAAGCAGGAATATAAATGCCTGTTTTCCATGAAAAAGAAACTTCACTAGCAAAAAATAAATTTTTTTTTGATACAATGAGATATTGCTAATTGTTTATCAATAGGTAAAGAATTATAAAAATAACAATTTCTATGTTGATGAGGGTGTGAGGGAGGGAAAGAATACTCTTAAACACTGCTGGTGTGAATGAAATTCGTACAGCATTTCTGAAGGACAATTTGACTAAGGCCTTAAAAATGTGCATCCCTTTAACTAATTTCACTCCAAAGGGCTTATCTTAAGGAGATAATTAAGAATCTGTGCAAAGACCAATAAATAAATGTGTTCATTACAGGACTGTTTATAATAGCCAATAAAGGTCAAAAACAAAACAAAACACAAAAAAGCTATCCCAGTACAGTCATTTGGTTAATAATGGTGTTTACCTTTCACACTCTCTTTAGAGGTTCCCTCTCCAAAATCAAAGCTAGTCCTGTTTCTTCCAAGGGAATCAAGCTCCCAGCTTTGTGTACAAGGGTCTTCATGGTACCAAGAACTTTCCCAGGTCTGTGTCCTATGTTCCTTCCACAGGAAACTTCTCACTACTTCCCAGTCGCACCTGCTTTCATCCAGAGAGTTTGCACATCATGATTCTTGTTCCCTAGAATGTTCTCCTCTTGTCTGGTCCCTTCAGTCTGGAAAACTTCTATTCAAGCCCAGAAGCCTTGTTCATTCAGTGCCTCCTTGTGGTAGTTTTCCTCAAATTCCCTAAAGAGCAGGTTTCTCAGTGTCTTTGTGTTTCTGCTATGACACTTACCAAGCTACATCATGCTTCGTTTATTACAAGGCTGTTAAGTCATATGTGCTTCAAGACAAGTGTCATGTAGTATTCATCTCTGTTACCACAGAACCTAGCACAGAGCCTGTACATGAAATGCACTGGACTGTTTGCTGAGTAACTGAGATGGTGGGCCCTGTGAACAGGTGACCATGAAATATGGGCCTTGGGCTCTGAAAGTTGTGAAAATGGCATTCAGTGCTGAAATCAAACAAAATATAAATATAATGATATAATTATTATTAAGCTGTACTATAACTAGGCGTAAATAGGTAACACTGCAGTTGTTAGGTTTTTTTTTTCTTGCTTTGCACTTATTTTTTTAAATGTTTATATTTGAGAGTGAGAGAGACTGAGTGCAAGATGCAGAGAGAGACACACAGAATCCAAAGCAGGCTCCAAGCTCTGAGCTGTCAGCACAGGGCCCAACATAGGGCTCTAACTCATGAACCACAAGATCATGACCTGAGCCAAAGTCTGATGCTTAATTGACTGAGCCACCCAGGTGCCCCTACAGTTATCTGAATCAGGGAAAACTGATAAAGTAGATAATTTAAACTTAATTATGCACATATAAGGACATAACATGCACATGCAATGCTGATTATTGTTATTGGAAGCCAAAAAATTTGTAAAATATAGGCTATACCAATTAGAAGCATTTGGGAATAAAAGTGTGTAATTATGCTTGCATGTTGTGTGTGTGTGTGTGTGTGTGTGGGTATGAGAGAGAGAGACAGAGACAGAGAGAGAGACAAAGAGAGAGAGAGAGAGAATTACTGGTGTTGACCAGAATTAGCTGAAGTAATGTTACCAACCAGCAAGAACCAGAAAGCCTAGAGAAAAATTCTCCAGTTATTTAAGACTCAAAGGTGTGTGTATATGAGGTGAAAATGCTATGTATTTCATGTAGACAAAGGTGGGTGTGGACCTAAACAAGATAGCCTGTCTAAATTCATCCGTGACTCAGCCCAAACCCAGAAAGCAAAAACACAAGGCCATGGTGAGGACAGCATGAGGTGGGACTATTCTGACGAGAGACTTCAGCTGAATCACCTGCCACAGCCAGTCCTTCCTTCAACCTCTGTAAGGGGGACTGGCTGCCAGTTAGTGGAAAGCAGTGACTGGTAACTGATCCCATGGGTGTGCCCCAAATTCAAATGAGTGGGCATCATTTTTTTGGTAAATATTTACACTGCTATATCATGCCAGTTATCTATTATTTGCCATCCTGGTCTTTATTTTTTTAATGTTTATTTATTTTTGAGAGAGAGCAGGGTAGGGGCAGAGAGAGAGAGATGAGGAGAGAGAGAATCTCAAGTAGGCTCCACTCTGTCAGCACGGAGCTGAAGCACAGAACCCAATGCGGGATTCAAACTCACAAACTGTGACATTGTGACCTGAGCTGAAATCAAGAGTCAGATGCTCAACTGACTGAGCCACCCAGGTACCCCTGCCACCCTGGTCTTTTAAAGCTGCTTGCTTTACACTGATGAAGAGTTTCTGGAAGGCTCCTTTGAGAGCAGGGAAGGATGGGCAAGGGATCTGTATGTCTGGCTCAGCCCTTTAAGAGTGCCCAGTGCCCAATGAGGGTGTCACACCTGTCTACCTCCTCTCTGCCAAACCAACACATGCCTGGAACCCTGAAGAAGGACCCATCAGTTCTTTATTCCAGGCGCATAAGTGACAGAATCCAAACCACACAGATCCAGAGAGCAGGCTGATGAAAATTTGCAGTTGTATCCTTGATCTGAATGGCACCACTTACCAAGCAGCCCTTTTTCTTTTTAACTTTCAATTGTTCTTTTTAAGATTTTATTTTTAAATAGTATCTATACCCAACATGGGGCTTGAACTCACAACCTTGAGATCAAGAGTCACATGTTCTTCTGACTGAGCCAGCCAGGTGCCCCAAGAGGCCTTTCCTTCCCACACAGACACCCCCTTCCTTTCTCAAGACACCCCTTTCTCTACACTCCCAGTGCCTCAGCCATTTTAACCAGGTTGCCAGGTAAAATATAGGACACTCAATTAGATGAGAATTTCAGATAAGCAATGAATGCTTTTTAAAATATATGGGCATCCCAAGCATTTCATGGAACATCTTATACTAAAAAAGTTATTTGTGATTTTTCTGAAACTCTAATTTAACTGGGCTTCCTGTATTTTCATTTGCTAAATCTGACAGCCTTACTTTGAATGCCTCCTCTTCAACCAGTGTCCCCACCTCCTCTTTTTTCCCAATCTACGGGTTTCCTTCCCTGTAGCAAGCCCTTGAGCTTCTCTTAGGCTTTGGATATCTCCACACCTATGGCAGGATAGTCTGCAACACTTACTCTGCCCTCCGCTCCCCTCCCCCCACCATTGCCCAGTGAGAGCAGAAGAAACTTAATGTCTGAAGATGGATGAGGGGAGGAAGGACTTTGAGTTTGGGTAGGCTTGCCCCCCATTTGCCACCTTGTTTTTGTTCTTTCAGGTTCCCTCTTCACATGCTCATGACGCACAGTATCTATAACGATCACGGTCTTGCACGGCGCGGGTCAATCCCTTGCCAAGAGTCCTCGCCGGGTTTAGAGTGAGATGTAATTTTTGGACCTTATGCTCAGAATGAGCATGCCCTCCCTGTTCTTGGGTCACATTATAAAGTCCTCATCACATAACTTAGTTTTGGGATTGCAATGGTCAGGGCAAGGGCCATCTCAACAGTCCACCGCGTTTCGTGTTTACGCCCCCCTCCTTGTTTTACATCCCTTTCTTTCTAATTGCTGGGCACCACCCCCCAGCCCACCCTGTCTCCTTGTAGTGTCATATGTGCTTAATTCTTTTTATTTAAATTTGTACAATTTTTAAATTAATAAACCCAATTTTTGGCATAGTTTTATGTTCATAGCAAACTGAGCTAAAAGTGCAAAGTTTCCATATATCCCTTTCCCCCCAACACACAACTTCCTTCACTATTAACATCTCCCACCAGAGAGCATTGTTACAATCAAAAAACCTACACTGAAATGTCATTATTCATCCAGAGTCCACAGTTTACATTAGGATTCATTTTTCTTAATTGAAGTATAATTGACATACAATATTAGATTAATTTCAAGCCTACAACATAGGGATTTGACATTTATACATACTATGAAATGATCACCATAATAAGTCTAATTACTATACAAACTTAATACAATATAATTGTTTACATTCCCTGTGCTGTGCATTACATTTCTATGAGTTATTAATTTTAGAACTGGAAGTTTCTACTTCTTGATCTTCTTCACCCATTTTGCCCACCCCTCAGCGCCCCTCTCTTCTGGTGTGTAATTCTTAGCTATAGGGTTTTTAAAAAAAATCAAGCTGAGGAAGTTCCCCTCTATTCCTAGCTTGCCAAGAATTTTGGTGTTTGAATTTGTCAAATGTTTTTTCTGCAACTATTGGTATAATCACATGATTTTCTTTATTCTGTTGATGTGATAAATTACACTGATTGATTTTTTTAAATGTTTATTTAGAGAGAGAGTGAGAGCATTCAAGCAGAAGAGGGGCAGAGAGAGAGGGAGAGAGAGAATCTCAAGCAGGGTCCATGTTGTCAGCACAGAGCCTGACATAGGCTCCATCTCACAAACCATGAATTCATGACCTGAGCCAAAATTGAGTCAGATGCTTAACTCACTGAGCCACCCAAAAACCTCTTAATTGATTTTTGAATGTTAAATCAGCCTTGCACACCTGGAATAAATCCCACTTAGTCATGGCATATAATTCTTTGTATTCATTGTTGGGTTTTATTTGCTAATGTTTTGTTGAAGTATTTTTGCATCTATGTTCATGAGAGATATTGCTGTATGGTTTTTTCCTTATGGTTTTTTTCTGAAAAAAAAAAAAAACATATCTTTTGAAATCAATCTTTTGAAAGAGATTATACAGACATGGTAGAATTTCTTCCTGAAACTTTTGGTAGTGAATCCATTTGGGCTATATGCTTAATTCTTGATAAATTAATGCTAGGACTAAATACATTTTGTTTGTTTGTTTGTTTGTTTTTTTAAGTAGGCTCCATGCCCAACGTGGGGCTTGAACTCACAACCCCAAGACCAAGAGTCTCATGCTCTACTGACTGAGCCAGCCAGGCACCCCAAATAAAAATGATTTCAGAAGGAGCTTTGATTACACTTGGGTGTTTGAGGTTAAAACCACAACTTTGTACATATGGGAGGGGCCTTCCCTACTGGGAGCCGTCATTCTTTGTGAAAAGCAGACAGTTTGGAGTCTCTGCTCAGATCAAAGATCACTTTTCTCCTGAACTTCCTACAACACCACTTCCTCACCTAAAAGAATGAGCCTGAGCACCAGGTTTGTATCATGTGACCTCCTTTCCTACCCTTTGGCTACATTAGTTTGGACCAGTGATGGACAATTGGCATAAACTGGACTAATGAGATTCTCCCTTCAGAGATTTGGGATTTAGGGACAAGAGGCCCAGTTTCTGCATAGAGTTGGAACTGAGGTATTTGAGACATGGGAATTGTGGACCCGTTTTTGTTGGATGTGTTCCACCAGAGAGGCATGAAGTTCTGCCTGCTAGGAGAGAAGGGTGAGGTGGAAACTGGTCAGGCTGCTGGGAACAAGCAGAGTGGCGCCAAGGGACTGCAGGGTGGAGAGGCTCACAAGACTCCGCTGGGGCCCAGGAAAGGACAGAGAAAGTATATGAGGGATTGGGTACTTCGGGTCTAAGGAGAGGGTGGGTGGCCTGCTTCTCAAGTTGGTTCTTGGAAAGGGGGCTGCAATGATTTAATCCCTCCTGCAGGGAACACAGGCAGTGGGGACAGAAACCAGACAGGTAAAGGCACTGAGTGTATTTATCCTTTCAGAACTGATGGGCAGAGACCAGCAAGGCAGGGAGGGTTCCTAGGTGAGTCTGGGCTACTCCGTATGGGAGTATGTCTACCATCCTCCTCCAAAGGCCAGGCTGTGGCTCGTGTTCTTCTCCTCAGGGAAAGAAAGTGATGTGGGGGCTGAAGCAAGGATTTGCCTGAACTGGAGCAACACGCTTCCCCACAGAGAGTGGCTGAGGGCTGAAGCAGGCCTGGGTCCAACCCACTTCTTCTCTTCTGCTCCCTGTGCCTAGCCCTTCAGGCCCCAGAGGAAAATCACAAGTGGAATCCATGGCTTGGGAAATAAAAAAAAAAAGTCAGAAGGATTTTACTTAAACAGACTTTAATTAGAAGTAAATTGGAGTTTTGCATACAAATGCATTTTGGTTTTTAGCTTAGACATTATTAACTCTGAAGTGTGTATGTAGGTCAGTGTCCTTTTTGTGTGAGAATCCATCCTTTAAGTAGGTGGTCTTTATGGCCCCTTCTTGTTTGCCTGTGTCTACTGACAAGGTGTGATCTTGGACCAAGAAATCCTGAATCTCCTTCAGGCACCTTCCTTTTCCCAGCCTCCTGAAAGCAAAGGCTCTGGCAAATACATGGGTGAGGCTGGGGTGGGTCCCGAGGTATCTTAAGCCACAGCTACCCCTTTGGGGAGAGGTCTCAGCTTTCTGAGTCCAGAGGGTAGGAGTACTGGCTCCCGGGGTAGCTCCAGAAGCGCAGGGCCACAAACACCACTGCCCCCAGCAGCAAGAGGGCTCCCAGCGCTCCAAAGAGGATCCCGAAAAAGGCTCCAAGCTTCACGCTCAGGTGCTCACAGTGTTCGCCCCAGGGCATGTAGATGGAGAAGGGCACGCAGCTGGGGACAAAGAGAGGGGACACGGTCAACAGGTCTACAGCGAGGAGGCCCCAGGAGGTTTTCCACCAAAGGCTGGCCTCCCCTCTGGGGAAGGAGGCGGAGCTGAAGTGTGGCCACTGGCTAGCGGAGACTGGCCCTGGGGTCAGCGCCACCTGGCCACAGGTGAGCATGCGCAGGCACAGCCCTGGCTCCTCCTAGCGCTCCTTGGACCCGGGAGGCAATAGGGCTGGGTGGATCTGGGATTGCAGTGGGCATGAGGGTAGACACAGGGCTCTGATACGACGTGAGGGCCCCGGGTGGCACTGCCCTTCTCCTCCTTAGCAGGCCTGTAGGCTTAGTGCACTCCCTCACGGGAGCCCCTGAGACTGCTGATGAACTGAGGGGACTTAGGACACCAGTTGCAGAGGGCCTTCCCTGACAGGTACTCTTAAGGAGAGGCAGGGAGGGACCTAGACAGAAGGCAGTGGGTGCCTCTCCCACAGGCAGACAGTAGAATGTACACTCCAGAAGCAAAATCAGGTGGAAGAAGTTGCTTTTGGAACCCACATCCTGCTCCTTAACTTACCTTGGGCAGGTGCTTTACCTATCTCTTCCTTAAAATGCTCATAATACTGGGGCACCTGGGGAGCTCAGTCAGTTAAACACCCTACTGACTCTTTTTTTAAAAGAATGTTTTTATTTATTTCTGAGAGAGAGAAAGAGACAGTGTGAGCAGGGGAGGGTTAGAGAGAGAGAGAGGGAGACACAGAATCTGAAATAGGCTCCAGGCTCTGATCTAGCTGTCAGCACAGAGCCCGATGAGGGGCTCGAACCCACGGACCGTGAGATCATGACCTGAGCCGAAGTCGGATGCTTAACCAACTGAGCCACCCAGGCGCCCCAACACCTGACAGACTCTTGATCTCAGCTCCGGTAGTGATTTCCACGCTGACCATGGAGCCTGCTTGGGATTCTGTTTCTCCCTCTCTCTACCCCTCCCCTGCACACACACACACACACTCTCTCTCTCTCTCTCAAAATAAATACATAAGCTTTTAAAAAATGTTCATAATACCTACCTAGTAGCTGGTTAGAGTATTAGAGGTAATGTAACATCTTTATTCTGCACACAGAGTAGGCACTCACACATCTTTTTCCTGGTTGCTTTTTCTCTGATCCCTATTCTCTCAGTTACAGAAGAGCCATCCTAACTTTCAGACACCACAAAATACCATGGGGTTTGTGGGCCCCTTGCACCATCTTTGCCCAGCTCGGATTCCCCAGCACTGCCTTTCCTGCCCTCTCCCCGACTCACCTGCAGCGGGGCCCTTGGGGCAGGTGCTGGCACTGGCCTCCGTGCTCACAGTAGCCCTCACTGCATGGAGACACGCAGGTCAGGCCACTCTGGGGGCTGTAGACCAGGTGGTAGCCCTTGTAGCCATTGCATTTGAAGTAAGTCTCCAGTGTGCTCACGTTCACTGTCAGGTAGGACACAGAGGAACATGGAAAGCAATCAGTAACACCAAATATATACCTTTCCAATCAAGAATTCCATTTTTAGGCATTTATCCTGAGAAATAATAGGAAAAGTGTGCAAATACATATGTTCACGGAAGTCTAGAGCAGCATGGTTTATAATAGCAACAATGTTTAATAGGAGGGACTTTGTTAAGGAATATTGTGCAACCACCATGGTATGGAAAGTGCATTGGTTAAGAGCAGATGCTTTGAAGAAAACCAGACCTAAGATGAAATTCAAACTCTACTACTAACACGTTGGGGGAAATTTCTTATCTCTTTCAGCCTCGATTTCCTTATCTTTTATAATAAGGAAACGATCATAAGAGTAACTACCATGCTGTGAAGGTTAAAGGAGATAATAAATACAAAATATTCAGTACATTGCCTAATACAGTAAGCACTCAATAAGTGGTCACTATTGGTATAACACTCTGTTTCAATAAAGCATAGCACACTATGCTAAAATGTATGATAAAATAACAAATCAAATGGGAATACATACATAATACACAAAGTAATATGTTCACAATTGCTTAAGTAATGAGGTTATCAAAACATTAGGCACTACTTTATCCTTTATTATAAAAAATATTGATAGGTGTGAAGATCTCCATGTGCAAAAGGAAATTCAGAAGGCTATGTGCAGAATGGACTTGTCTTTGGGGATTGGAATTACAGGCGATTTTTTTCTCTTTTTGTTAATTTGCATTTCTTAAAGCTTCTACAAAAAAACATATTGTACTTGTATGATAAAAATGGTGGGGGGTTTGGTCTGTTTTCTTTAATAAAAGTCATAGTCAGGTCTAGGGCAGTTGTTCCCTTACCCCGACCCTTACCCCGTACTGCACATACACAGATTAGCTCAGAGGATTTCACACTGTTGCCCCCCGGAGGGAGGAGGCCCAGCCTGGATTCTAGAAGAAGTTCTTGCTTGTTCCCACCCTCCAGTAACACACTGGCTTCTGTTGGGTTTGGCGTGGTCACCGCCCTGTTCTCTGCTTCACTCCCATCATAGTGAAAGCTATTCCTTTCCTTCCCTGGTAAGCTTACCAACTCATCTCACTCTTGTTCGAGGATAACAAGTGGCTATCACAGTTAAGGGAACTCAGAAATCCCATCTCCCTGTCCAGATGGGGGTGTTAAAGTTTGGATTGGGCATGGCTTTTGCATGGGTCACACCTTTCCAGGAGGGGATATCTCTGTCCCCGGGCCAGGTCTCCAGTCTTTAGCTTAATATCCTCCAGCTGGAGGGCAAAGGTAAAAGGGATGTCCCTGCTTATGTTTATAAAATGCAAAGGTATTTTAACAAAATCATTAACAATTTTATTAAAAGAAAGAAAATCATTAGTGGTGATGGTCAGAAATTGGCAATTAGAGTCCATGAAACTATATCCCTGGGGATTCATCAAGCAGTATATTGTGCTCTGCTCTTGTATCTATAAAGCTGGTAGGTAAAATGCTTATCATTTCCTTCAGAGGAGTGCCAGGGTAGTTCAGATGGTTAAGCATCTGACTTCAGCTCAGGTCATGATCTCACAGTTCGTGAGTCCAAGCCCCGCATTGGGCTCTGCTGACAGTTCAGACCCTGGAACCTGCTTCAGATTCTGTGACTCCCTCTCTCTCTGCCCCTCTCCCACTCCTGCTCTGTCTTTCAAAAATAAATAAACATTAAAAAAAAACTTTCTTAAAATCACAAACAAAAAACTAAGTAAGTTACTTGCTTCTTGCTTATCTGAGGCTCTCCATAGAAAACTTTTCCACCCCGGCTTTGTGTGGGCTGAAGATCTGTGATAGGTCCCCTTCATTCACCTCCTCCCTCAGCTTTCCCTGTGACTATCCCCAGGATAGTGACTCACGAGCCTTCACACTGTACACATCTTCTCTGGAGATGGAGTGGAAGTTCACGTTGGTCCTGGGCTCCTCACTTCTGTTCCATCTCTTCCATGAGGCCTGGGGTAAGAATGCCTCTACCACTGCATCCAGCAGCTTGGTGTTCAGAAAGTCGATAACAGGACCCCGAGGGAGGTACTGGAACTCCGAGATGACATTCCAGCGTTGAAGGTATCTTCCCGGGGCCTGTGCTGCCCCGGAATTGCTGTGAGGGAGGGGTAGAGTGAGGCATTAAGGGTAGAAGGGGAAGGGAGGACCTGGGGACAGGGCAGGGACAGTCCCACTTACATTTGCACCACTTGGCTGTTCTGGAGAAAGGCCCTCACATCCAGTTTCCTCAGTCTGTAGGCCACCTAGGGAGTGGGTAGGGGGGTGGGAGTGAGGCCCAGTCCAAAGAGGAGACCCTTCCCACTTGAATGCATTTATTTATCCATGCCTCGCTCCTTCTTTGCACATGAGTGCCAGGACCTACAGAATATTTCTCATCCATTCCTGCTCCCCTACACCCCAGCCTAACCTGGTAACTCGCATGGGTTCCTGCTTAATAAAAGTTTGTTGGTGCAGGGCACCTGGGTGGCTCAATCAGTTAAGCATCTGACTTTTGATCTCAGCTCAGGTCATGATCTCACAGTTCGTGAGTTCGAGCCCCACACTGCACCCTGCACTGACAGTGCGGAGCCTGCTTGGGATTCTCTCTCTCCCTCTCTCTCTGCCCCATTCGTGCTCTCTCATGCCCCCACTTGTGCTTGCTCTCTCTCAAAAATAAATAAGTAAACATTAACAAAAAAGTTTGTTGGTAAGTGAAGGCATACCTCCTTGCCTCCAATGACAAGGGGAAAATCTGGAATGAGTGCCTCCTGCCTTGCCTCGCTTCTGTGACTCATCCAATCATTCTCTCCCCACTTGTATATTGAACACTGATTATGTTTAGCGAGACCTAGGGGATGGTCAGGTGCTGGGGACTTCAAGCTGACTCAGAAACAGTCTATACTCAGAGACCCATAGTCTGGTGAAGTGAATAAGCATGAACAGATTTTACTATTCAGAGTGTGGAATGCTGTAGTATTAGCAATAGTAATAATTATCATCATAATTTTTTGAACACTTGTGTTTTAGGCACTGCAGTTAGTGCTTTACATACATTATCTTTTAAAACTTGACACAACCCATTGAAATAGGTACTATCATTATTTCTGTGTTACAGAGGAGACATCAAATAATTTGTCCAATTGTTACACCTGCTCTGGGGAATGGGAGAGCCAGGATTTTAACCTGGGTATGTAGGATTCTAGAGCCTCAATAATTCAACTACTGTGGTACTCTCTCTGAGGTTGAGGAATGGACAAGGGCATAGGAGCCAAGAAGAGGGAGATGCTAGCCTCCTCTGGGAAGTCAGGGAAGGCTTCCTGGAGGCAAAATGGCTTCTCATGTTTCTACCATATGCTACTCAAGTGCAGGTCTCAGGGGATACTCAGAAGGAGAGGCTGGGGTGACGTGACACCCCCTAGACAATTGTGGTCTAGTTATTCCAGTCCCCTTAGAGGGCTCTGTCTGGGGGATTCCATCCCCTGCTTTCCCTGGGGCAGGAGGCTCCAGCCTCCTCTGGCAACTGAATCTAGATGGATGGTGAGATGTAGAACATATAAGTGATGTCCAGGACCAAACCCTAAACCTGCCAAGACCCACCTCCCCACCCAGAGCTGGCCTGGATCACTGACCGAGGCATTGACATCTATTACGGAGGCATTTTCTTCTTCCCTGAGCAAGAGCCGGATGATTCTTACGGGAAGCTCTGGAGATGGGAGAAGCAGATTCACAATCACCTCACTGTTTATGCAGACTTACCCAAGAAGTTTGCTGGGTCAGCTCAGGGAGGCTGCCCCATTCTACAGTGACAAAAGGTCACCAGAGGAGTCAGAAGTGACTGATTCTGCTGAACCTCACCCTAGTTGCCCATTCCACTATGGTCAGGGCTTCCTCACTCTCGTCTCTCTGGGCCGTGAGGTCACCTCCAGTCTCTCCTCAGCAGACTGCTCAGGCTTGGGACTTGTGCCTTGGCCGCTGCCCCCCAACCGCAGCTCCCAAAGCCGGTGACCTACCACCACCTGAGAGATTTGGAGCTCTGCCCTGTTGAGTTTGAGGAACGAAGCTCTGACCCCCGAGTCCCCCATCTTCCGCCAAGTGAGAGACATATGAAGGCAGAGGGCAGCTGTTGGTACCTTGGTGGATGGTTGGAGTGAAATTGTTCCCAGCCAGGAAGCAGCGGGTGTCGGTGAAGGCTGGGGGGCAGGCGCAGGTGGGATGGCAGTCTGGCGTCTGGGAGATGTAGCAGTGGCCCTGGTTGTAGCAGTAATTCACAGGGCAGGACACGTTCTGACAGAGGGGAGAGTTCTCCAGAGCTGCCGAGGGAGCGGGGAGGCTGGCAGCATCAGGCTGGGCAGCCGTGGGGAGACCCAGCCCACAGAAAGCGGCTCCTGGGACAGGCTTTCCTTCCCCCAAAGTCCATTCAGTCTGTGTTTTGCTTATGAGTCATTCTGAGCCCCAAGCTATCCTTCTCCTTTTCCAGGTATTTCTTTGCTGGGAAACCCCAGCATGTAGGTGTTCTCCCATTTCTGCCGATGGAATGGCGTGTTTGTCAGACCCCCTGCGTCAGGAAAGGACCCAGAGGCCTGGCAGGAGAAGGGCCCGCCAGCCTGCTTTCCTTACTTCCGTCCTTCTGTCTGCCTTGTAAAGCTGTGGCTCTACCCACTCAGGCCTCTGCTCAGAAGACCCAGTGGCCTCTCCATTTCGTTTGGGCACTTTAGGGGACTTAGTGAAAGTCTCACTGTGATCTCCCTCATCATGACTTCACTGGAGCCTTGGCTTGCTGGCTGCCGCGGGACGTCTCCCCCCTCCCCCAGGCCTTCTTCAGTCTTTTGCCCTGGGTTTCCCCCATTAGGGCCTCAGGTCTGCTCTGCCCTTCCTTCCCCCTTCCTGCACAATCTCTTCTCCTTCAGCCTCGTACCTCACCACGTGTCCTCACCTCCTTACCATACCCCCTTGCAGTGAGTATTCTAAAGACTTACTGGAAGAGGGGGGGAAATGGTTTGCCCTAGGCCCTCAAGGTGTCAACTGTCCCCAGGCCCTCCTCCTGCCAGGGCCCTGCTCCCGGCTCACCTGCACAGTGACGCCCATCTCCAGTCAGGTTTTGGGGGCAGGCCTCACAGCCCACCCCAGGAGTGCACTTTACATTCGGGAAGCACGGCTCCTCACAGGGGTCCCTGGAGCGTTTGCAGTAGGGGCCAAAGGTGTTCCCATCACACTTGCAGCTGGCCACCTGGAATGGGTTGCTGATCACCAGGGAGCCGGGAGGCTGAACCATTAAAGGCTTCTGGGTGGTTCTGTACTGACCCCTCTGGTCTGAGAACCCATGAACCTTGAGTCCTTGTCTTAATTCTGCCAGCCTCTGCTTAGCACCCTCTTGACCAGGCTGTGGTCCTGTACATTCTTGCCAAGTGCACTGGGCCTCCACGGGGCATTCATTCCCCTGACCCCTCTGCCTGGTGCCTGCCCTGGGGTCTCAGACACTTACTTTCCTCTCACACCGCATCTCCTTGCCTGAAACCCTTTCCAGACTATGACAGGCACTAACTAAATATTCTACTATCCTACCCAAGCTCAGTTTCCTCCATCACCTTCCCTTGCTGATTCCCAAATCAAGAAGACAGAGCCTTACTGCTAAGTACAGTGAGAGCACACGGCAACCAGAACAATGGCACAGGGGTGGTACGGATTCCCAAAACCTTATCAACACCCATGCTCTTTCTCTTCTGACACCCCTACTCTTTCCTCTCTAATCTCTAATCTCCCTAAAATGAAACCCACCAACACTGTCTACTTCCAAGACTGGATATTTTGGGATACCTAAAATAATATATTGATTTTTATCTCTGTTTTTCCCAGCCCATATCTTTTTCCTTTTCTACCTCTTGGACTCCTCCACCTCTACGTCTCTCGGGTAGGAATTCTTGGTTCATGCCTCAGGAGAAGGGTATGTGTGTATAAGGGGTGAAGGGGATGATGTGGTATTGCCAGTCAGACATTTTCTTTTCTGGCTCCTATTTTACAACCAAAACAAAACAAACAAAAACAAAATAAAATTTTTAAAAAAGCCCATGGGGCACAATTCATGGACTGAGGCCAACTAACAGAGAGGAGGGGCACCTGGGTGGCTCAGTTGGTTAAGCGTCCGACTTCGGCCCAGGTCATGATCTCACAGTTCGTGGGTTTGAGCCCCGCGTGGGGCTCTGTGCTGACAGCTAGCTCAGAGCCTAGAGCCCGTTTCAATTCTGTGTCTCTCTCTCTCAGAAATAAACGAAACATTTAAAAAATTAAAAAAAAAAACTTGAACGGAGAAAGATTTTTATCCAAAATGAAGAGATCTTTCTTTTAGCTGGGAGGAGAGAGTAAAATAGAAAGCAAGGGGTTCTGGGGTGTCAACATCAAAGGGGACCTACACCTCTCTTTGCAACACCACAATGATGAGACCTCAGAGAGAAATGGCTGTGTGGTGCTTCTAGGCAGATGGAAACTTAGACCACCTTATGAAAGTTTTCCCATGTCTGAGCAGGGCATAGAGGCCACAGAGCACCTCTGTAGGCCTGAAGTGGAGGGAGCGTGGAACCTGTGATCTGTGTGGGTTCATGCCCAGGGATCACAAGGACACCTTCCTGCCCCACATCTCCTTGCCTCGTTCTAGAACTGTGGAGCTGGGAACCCCTGGGGAGCTTTAAGGGAGGCTGAGGTGGATGTCTCCTGTCAGCCTGGCAGAGTGGGAGCTGGGAGATAAAAACTCAGTTGAGCTGTAAGCAGTGAAGAAAGTTCTGTTTCTTTTTTTTTAATAGTTTATTGTCAAGTTGGTTTCCATATAACACCCAGTGCTCATCCCAACAAGTGCCCTCCTCCATGCCCATCACCCCCCTTCCCCTCTCCCCCACCCCCATCAGACTTCAATTTGTTCTCAGCATTCAAGAGTCTCTCATGGTTTGTCTCCCTCCCTCTCCCCAACTGTTTTTTTTTTAAATTTTTTTAATTTTTTTTTTTTTATTTATTTCTAAGAGAGAGAGAGAGAGACAGCATGAGCAGGGGAGGGTCAGAGAGGGAGGGAGTCACAGACTGAAACAGGCTCCAGGCTCTGAGCTGGCAGAACCCATGAACCGCGAGATCATGACCTAAGCAAAAGTCGGACGCTTAACCGACTAAGCCACCCAGGCACCCCTCTTCCCAACTGTTTATCCCCTTCTCTCCCCCATGGTTCTCTGTTAAGTTCCTCCTATTCCTCCTATACGTGCAAGAGTTCTGTTTCTTATACATGTACGTTTATGGACTGAGATTGGGATCGGCTCTACTCACCCACCATAGCTCCCAACACACAGAGTACCACAGAGGGACTGAAGTATGACATCCCTTCAGTTCCCACCACCTTTCCCCTCAACAAGGAAACTTCCCTCCCAACCTCCTCCCAATACTCACCTCCAGGGAGGAATTGCCCACCCAGCTGGTCTGGTTGTATAAACACTGGCTCTCTTCCCTGCAAGCACAGACCACTGTCTTTGGCTGGAGTACAGATGACAAGTTGACTTTGACATTTCTTGCTAGAATCTCCAGAGTGAATGGTTCCAACAACTTTGGTGTCCATAACAATGTCCCATTCTCTGCCCCAGGGAAAACAAGACCATTGAGAGCTCGGGGCCTTGACTGTTGTGCTGTCTGACACATCCTGGAATCTAATACCCTGGGTGCTGACACTGGCCTTCCCCCACCTTTCTCAGACCACCCCTCAAATGTCATTAGACATTTCTTTGAACAAGGATGGTTTCCTGGAGTGATCCTAGTCACGTCCCAAGCTGGAGGTAGCATGAGCCCCACTAACTGATTGTAAGGTAGAATTCCACAGAAGGGAAGGGAGATAACCCCTGAATAGACCCCAAAGGGCAACCCCTTCCTGGGCCTGCAGCAGGATGGGACATCTAGGAGGGAAGAGAAAAGGACCAGTATGATGCTTCTCCAGGCTATACTGCAGACTAAACTGGCTTCCCCTTTACATTCCTTGTCCCGATTTCTCACCCACTCCCTCGCTTCTTGGACCTTTGACTTTCAGACACCTGACAACAGTAAAACATTGTCAACAAGGACTCCTATGATCAAAACCCATCTTGTTTTCCAAGAAAATAAGAAAGTCTCCTTAAAATAGTAGGTTGAAAGTTACTGATAAGAGGGAACAGATGAGAGAAACTTGCAGACTGTCACTCTTCAGAAGAGGAGCCCAGTGGAGGAGAAAATCTCCTAATGCCTTTGGCTAGCACCTGACAGAATGCCACACAGAGCCAAAGGATACAGACAAAGAAGTCCCTTCTTAAGCCCAGAGAAAGAAAATAAGGCAGATGCTCTGAGCGCAAAATAAGGTCCCTAATAGATTTGGTTTAGCAGAAAATAGTCACTAGCATCATTGGTCCTGGCAACCAAAAGCAAGTTGCATCCTGTGGGCTTTGGCTTTTTGACCCAGATCATGGTTGCAGGACTGGGGGTCCCCACACCATTACTGACAGAGAGAGATGAGACTTGGCTTGGTTCCAGCGGAGAAAAGCCACAAGGAGAGACAAAGTTAGGCAAATGTGGTTGACAAACATAAAAGTAAATGAGAAACATACCAAATGAAGATACTTGTATCTTTAAATCATGTTCCACATTATATCCTTCTTTTAATAGATTTGAAAATGTTTTAAATTCAATCTGAGGGCTGATGGGGGGAGTGGGGAGGGGAAGGGGGGTGATGGGCACATAGGAGGGCACTTGTGGGGATGAGCACTGGGTGTTATATGGAAACCAACTTGACAATAAACTATTTAAAAAAAGAATATGTTTTAAATTCATATTTTTAATGGTTATATTTTATTCTAATAATTTGGTTATTGTATAAAGATGGTTAGAGATGATTGCATGTTCTTGGATTTGAGGTGAAATCACCTTTGAATCACTTGAATTCAAGTTCAAGTGCAGCTAACTGGCCAGATTGCTGGAAGCCCATCACTGTTATTCACTGGGGGCACTATCTGAATCTTAGGGATTACTCCAAGAAATGCTAGTCCTAGATTTTCCAATGGAAAAGTGGAATGAAGTTGCACAGGATATGATAATGCAAAATTACCTAAAGTTTGACTCTGACCACATTCTTTACACCTGCAGACAACTGTTCTTACCAAAGAGCTTGAAGTCAGTGTTGCTGTTTCTCAGGGTGAATACGACGTTTTCAGAGCGGCTGGTGTACTGAGTCAGCTTGGTCTGCCCCAGGTAGGCTCTCACCATTTGATCACCCTCAATAGAAGGTGGATACTTACCTGAAACACAAAGAGGGATTCAAGGTTTGGGGCAGGACACTTTCTTGCCTCATAGGCAAGTCCTCTGGTTTGTGTGAGGCATTCCGTGGGCTGTGACCCACCTCTGGAAACAGGAATGATTCTGTGTATCTACTTTCAGATCTATATAGAGCAGGTTGGGGTTGTACTGCCCACTTGACCAAATCATTATTTTCTCTTTATCTTTCCCCCACACAGGATTCAGGTCAAGTTCTCTCTTGATCAGAGTGCTATGCTGGACATGGTACAAAGGGTTGTTCAGACCATTACAGAGTTTTACCTTTGGAAGAGGGCTGAAAACCATGAGGGTAATCTCTAGATGGGCATTGCATTTGTCAGTAAATAGAGGAAAATGCCTTTTCACTGGTTGGGGCACCAGCGTGGCTCAGTTGGTCAAGCATCCAACTCTTAATTTCTGCTCAGGTTATGATCTCACAGGTCATGAGTTCAAGCCCTACATTGGACTCTGCACTGACAATGTGGAGCCTGCTTGGGATTTTTCTCTCTTCCTCTCTCTCTCTGCCCCTGTCTTGTTCTCTCTCTCTCTCTCTCTCTCTCTCAATAAATAAACTTAAAAAAAAAAAAAGACCTTTTCACTGATATCTGTGCTTTGGAGCCCTGCTATTTCCATTTCATTGTTCATTCATTCATTCACTCAGTCAGTCAGTTAACACATATTTATTGAGTCCCTCACATATGGCTGGCACTATTCCATGTAGTGAGGACACAGCAATAATAAATAATAAAAAAGATATCTGTGCAAATTAGAAAATATGCTAGGTAGTTGTAAATGCTAAGGAAAAAATAAAGCAGGAAAGGTGAATAGGAAGTATGGGTAAATGTGAGCTTTTAGACAGGCTAGTCAAGAAAGGCACTGCTGATACAGAAATGCTGAGGCATAGGAGCACATGTACCCCAATGTTCATAGCAGCACTCTCCACAATAGCTAAAACATGGAAAGAGCCTAAGTGTCCATCAACAGATGAATGGATCAAGAAGATGTGGTTTATCTATACCATGGAATACTACATGGCAATGAGAAACAATGAAATCTGGCCATGTGTAGCAACATGGATGGACCTTGAGGGTGTTATGCTGAGCGAAATAAGTCAGGCAGAGAAGGACAAATATCATATGTTTGCACGTATAGGAGGATTAGGAGGAACTTGACGGAGGAACAAGCGGGAGAAGAAGGGCGGAAATGGTGGGGGAAAGGGAGAGAGGCAAACCATGAGAGACTCTTGAATGCTGACAAAAACTGAGGACTGATGGATGTGGGGGGGGGGGGGGATGGGCATGGAGGAGGGCACTTTGGGGATGAGCACTGAGTGTTATGTAGAAACTAATTTGACAATAAACTATTTGTAAAAAAAATATATATATATATCTTGATTTATAAAAAAAAAAATAAAAATAAAAAAAAAAAAAAGAAAGGCACTGCTGATGGGGCTCCTGGGTGCCTCAGTCGGTTAAGTGTCCAACTTTGGCTCAGATCATGATCACACAGTTTGTGGGTTCGAGCCCCGCGTTGGGCTCTGTGCTGACAGCTAGCTCAGATCCTGGAGCCTACTTCAGATTCTGTATCTTCCTCTCTCTCTGACCCTCCCCTGCTCATGCTGTCTCTTTCTCTCTCTCTGTCTGTCTCTCAGAAATAAATAAAACTAAAAAAACCGTTCAAAAATTTTTCAAAAATAAATTATTAAAAAAAAAAAAGAAGAAAGGCACTGCTAAGAAGACAACTCTGTTTGCATAAGGCCTTGAAGGAGGTGAGGGTCTGTCTGGAGGAAGGGGGGCCAGGCAGACCACAATAGGTGTGGAGTTGGCAGGGAGCCTGGTGTATTTGAAGAACACAGAGAAGCCAGGGTATGTGGAGTGGAGGGTGCAGGGTAGGGAGGAACAGAGGAAGAGTTTGAGAGGCCCGGGGGTTAAGTTGGAAAAGGCTGTGAAGGTCATCACAGAGCGAGCTGGAGAGTCATGGGAGGATGAGTAGAGGAAAAATGTGAACAAAAGAATCTGTTGTTTGAAAAACATGCAGCTTAAAAGAATATCACGAAAGAGGGGGTACTCCTCATCTGCCATCCAAGTCTGCAAATGCCTCCCTGAAAATGCCACTTACTGAGGGTGGTGTTCATCAGCTGGTATCTGCTAATGAGCATCTTAGTGTTCAGGCCAGTCTTCATATTTCCTGTGGCCAGGCTGTCATAGATGCACTGCTCATCTCCATCACAATCAGAGGCCAGACTTTCACTTGAATGGTTGTTCTTCAGTTGGAAAAGGAAGACAGGGGTGAAGTTGGAAGGCAGAGTGTTGTCTCTCTTGCCAAGGAGTCTTGTATCATTGATTTCCCCTAGAACACACAAGGTTAAATGGTACAGGTACCAGGGATGGGATTCCAGCTATACTTCTGCTATGTCCACTCCTTACCCTCACTCTATATGCCTTGGGGGGAAGGAGGGGGATGTGGGGGGGGTGATGTGACTTCAGCTTTTGAGGCTGGAAATCTCTGCTCTAGTGAGTGAGGGCCACCATTTTCCTTGCCTTCTCTTCCAGGTAGAGAAACGCAGGTGAGATGGGGATGGAGAGGACGACTCTGGGGTGGCAGGCACCAGCATCCTCAGCATTTCCTCTTGTCCTTTCTAACCCTCCTTTACAAAGGATGGAGATCTGGCTCCCACAGGCCTGAGGGAGACAATACTACCTTCATCCCAACCCAGCCACATCTACCCCAAGGACTCTGAGGCCCAGACTCACAGGTCATTCCAAATTGATAAAGCTGCCACTCATCGCTTTTGTTGAGAATGGTGGAGCCATTGGGCATCTTGAAGTCATCATCTGGATTGTCATTCCAGACTCCTGAGGGACAGAGTAGAAGGTTGGCCACCCTGGGACTGTGGCTCTCCCCTTCCCTGAGGAGCATCCAACGGGTCACATTCAAGGTGTGAGGGGTAGTAGAGGGCCTGGGAAGCCCCTTCTGGTTGTATCTGTTCTCAGTTCAGTCGTTCCAGAGGAAGGACTCATAGCCCACCCCTCTGTCTCAGGGATAGAGGAGGAGAAAATGGAGGAGGAAGGGGGAGGAAGTAGGGGCTGGAGGGAGAGGAAGGGCATCCTCAAAGCCCCCTCGGCTGCCCTGGAACTAGAGCTTTGGGAGGATAAGAAATGAGCCTCAAAGGAAGGTGAAGAGGTCCCTTGCCCCTCCCACCTCTCTGCCCTCAGGGTTCTGTCCCAAGGAGGCTGAGAAAGGGAAACTCAGCCTGGGATGTCCACAAGCCAGCTGGATGCGGAGCTGCCTATGATCTGGGACCCAAGCTCTTGATGCTGCTGCTGCTGCTGCTTCAGAGGCAGAGTCCTGTCTGCTTCTCACCCAGAAGGCCCTCTGTGCTGTTTCGATACTCCTCCGGGAGGCTGCAGGAGGCATGGAGGATGTTGGAGAGGGCAATCACAGAGATGGTCACAGTCCCATCAAAGCTGGCTGACACCAGGGAGCCGTTGCGGGTCACTACAATGCCAGTGGTGTTGAATATCTCCTGGCCTGGGATGTTGGGAGACAGATGAGAAAGAAACCAGCGTTGGAACCCTGCAGACCCAAGACTTGGTAGTGGTGGAGGGTCAAGATGTTGAGGGGGGAGACTGAGAGCAGCTCTGGGGTGTCCTGGGAGTGCCTTCTCCAAGGGTCAAATGCCACACTCACAAGATATCCCCTTCTTCTTGGAGACTGGAGACAGAGGCCACTACAGACAGGCCATCACCACACAGGAGGAAGGAGAGAAGTGAGCAGAGAAAGCAGTGAAGAAGCTGTTCAGGTACAGCTGCTGAAAGAACAGGGGGTGAAGAAGGGCTGCCAGCCCCTCTCCTCTGCCCCAGTGCTGCTGCCTCCACACTGCGCCCAGGCACTGGGTTCCCTGCTGAAGCCTGACCCTGGAAAGCAGGACAGCTGACATCTGTCCCCAGCCTACCTTCTGAGTCTTCACGGTTAGTCTCAAACGACACAGTCTGGTTATTGACCTGCACGTGGATTGTGTCATTGGGTTCGAGGAGCCATCGAACCTGGAAGAGAAGTGGAGGAGGCTTAAGCCTGAGGTAGTCCAAGAGGCTGAGAGAGGAAGCTGCAGAGAGTCTGGACTTGAGCCCCAGAGGAACATGTAGGTGGGTGTGATGAGGTTATGGTAGCTAACATCCTGGGAGAGCTTAGCGTAGGCCAGGCTCTGTGGGAGGCACATTTCTTAGATTATCTCATTTAAATTGCACAATAGCCCAGCAAGGTAGGTAGTATTATCTTCATTTTACTATAAAAAAGCTGAGGCACTGGAAATTCAGTTGTTTCTTCAGAATCACATGGCTGGTGGAGCCAGGAGCCGAACCCCCTGTCTCTAGGGTTGAGTCTCAAACCACTACACTGGTAGGATGCATCCTCCCTCCTTGCTGCCCTGTTTCCTTCTTCCTTCTCTCTCTCCTCCTTGGCACCCCTGCCTCACTCACTGCAATGGGGTCCAGGCTGCTGCTGTTGTATGTAGCTGCAAAGGCAATGAAGTTGGTGGCCTGGGCTGAGCTGGTCTGAGCAGTGCGGCCCTGCAGCAGGAAAGAGGAGTTTCCGTCCCAGGCCCGGACCAGCAGGAAGTCACCCAGCCCGTTGAAGGTATAATTGGCACCATCCAAGGTGGTGATGTGGGGGTCCCCAAACATCCAGGCTGGAAACCAGAAAAGACCACATTGGCATGGCAGTCCAGGGAAGGGTCTGAGATTCCCCTGCTTCCAGGCAGACTCAAGCCCGGGAGGGGTTCACTGAGTGTAGAACCATCCCCTACCCAAGTTCACACAGACTCATTACCTCTGCCGCCTGCCTTCTCACCCCTTCCCCAATGCCATGTACAAAACCCCTCCGTTTGCCATTGGCCACACATTGGAACCATCTCCATCTTCCCTTGTGGCCACAGCCCATCCCCAGGAAGCTAGTGCTGCCCTGGTCCAGGCCCCAAGAAGCTATGCCCTCACCCCAGATCTCTGCCTCAGCCCTGCCCCAAGGCCAGCCCCAGCAGCCTCACCGGGCCTTGGGGGCCGGTACCCAGCACAGCTGATGCGGGGCCGCCTTTGCTGGTACAGGGCACAGAAGGAGGGCTTGTCACTTCCACGGCAGCACCAGTCCCACGGCTCCAGCTCTTGGTCTGTGGAGAAGAGCAGCCTATTGCTGGCAGACAGAGCACCTGCAGAGCCCGGCTGAAAGGTTTGGTAGGGCAGGATGACATGAGCAGCAAGCGCATGGTTTGGGAATCAGGCACACCTCAGGCCAGATCCTGCCCCACTCAGTAACCTCAGGTCATTGACAGTTACGGTCTCCCTTGCAGGCTTGCTGGAGCCGTGTGCTAACGAGCTTTCTTTCTGAGCCCCTGGGCTCTCAAAGTGCAGGGGTGGGAGCATGCAGCTGATGGTCTGGGGGCCATGGAGGCTGCTGTGTTTTCAGGGGCAGGGGGTGGGAAGGGGGAGGACAAGCACTACCCTGGTCCCCCAACCCTGTACTTCTTAGCTCCTCTGGAGGGTCTCTGTGGGAGATGATTCCATATCTCCCCCCAGACTGCCAGCTAATCTGGGTCCAGAGGGACAGCTTCAGACTAGGTCCCCTCCTCTTCCCTAGAAAGATGCCCCCACTCTTGTCTGGGGCTATGGGGACAAGTGAAGATGGGACAAGGGGCACTTAATCATAAATCCCTAGGATGAAGCTTCCCAACATTATAAGATCAGGAAATCAATGGTTGGAGAGGGGAAGGAGCTGGGAGGGAATGGGGACAAAAGACTTCTTTCTTTGGGTCCCACTGCTTGGCTTGGTGCCCAGGCCTGGTCTCTGACAGAGAAGAGGACACAGCTCCAGAGAGGGTGGGGGTGAGATCTCGGTGGGACACACGTACCAAACTGCCAAGGAGTGCTCACTGTCCAGCCTTGGAGAAGCTCGCCCCAGGGCCCGTAGCTGCAGCACACGCCCCCGCGCCAGGAGGAGACGCGGCACAGCTGCCTGCCTCCGAGGCCCCACCAGCCTGTGACAAGTACACACACTCAGGCCCAGTGCCTGCGGGGGGAGGGGCAGGGATGAGGGAGGTTCTGGGGAGGGACCCTGGAAGGAACAGGTCGGGTGTGACCAGAAGGTTGGTGGTTGGGCTTATGGGGGACAGTGGGGGTGCCCCCAAGAGACGGGAAGGAGGTGTTACCTATGTTGATGGGCTGGAATCGTAAGTCCCACAGTCCCTGCTGCCAGGAGCAAGGGCAGAACATCTGGTTCCAGCCCCATTGGGGCCACTGAGGCTGTCTATTCAACCACTGCAGGCACCTGAGACGGTAGTTGGGCCTTTCTCCCCTGTGTAGCCTATAGACCTGCAGGCCCCGGAGGCCTAGAGAAGCACAGGAAGAAGGGGTTACCCCAGGGCCACAAGCTCTGCTTTAGCAGCCCAGTTCATAACCACACCTTGCCCCTCCCCTACTCTGGATGGCTCTTCCAGGGACGGGACCCAGTTCATATTGGCCCCTTTCAGTGTGACCTCCTAAAGCCATTAAAGCTTGACTCTTAGGGGAGAAACCCTAAGACAAGTGCTGGGCAGGGAGGCCTTGCCTGCACCCACTCAGAGCCAGACCCTAGCCCTGATCTTCAGTCCACCGAATCCTCCACCCTCCCATCTGCCACTCTAAGCTCCAGCACCTTCCAATCTCCCTAGACAAGTTCCTCTTCAGGCATCCTCTACCTCACTAAGTGACGCCACCGGCCACCAGCTCAGACACCTGGCTTCCCCTGACCCTCCCTCTCCCCCAGCGCAGACATGTCAGTGGCCAAAGTAGCCAAGACAGAGGCCAATATCCAGAAGGCAGCTGAGGAGCCATGGAGAAGCTGACACGCAGAGCAGGAGCTTACTCCAGCACCATGAGGCTGAGGAAGCTTCCGCTGTGTCCAGATGCCATCCTCACAAGGGAGAAGTAGCTGGGAGAAGAAACCTTGACAGGGGGTTGAATTTAAATTGCTCTTTAATTGTAAGTTACATACTGTCCACCCCAATATCCATGAGTGAGAAGGGGGCTCCAGGATTCAATAAGACACAACAGGACATAATTGATTAGATTTTGACCCTGTTCCCACATAAAAGAAGAAATTATCAAGATAACTACAATTTGTTAAGGTTTTGAAGAAAATAATTATTGTTTATGATTTTCTGTTCATGTATCTTCTCCACAATGGCCTGATATCATGGGAAACAAATTAGATACTCCCCCCAACACACACACACACACACACACACACACACACACAAGCACGCAGTCACAAGGGGATGCATCTTGATAGGAGAAACCGAATCTGACAGGGCAGTTCTCTCCACAAGATGGCACCATGACTTGATTTAGCTTCTGTTTACCACAAGTTCTTGTCACAGAACAATGGAAGTAGATTTATACTTCACAATCTACACAGCTGATTTCTAATGCTAAAATGTCCTTCGTTCTACTCACAGTTTGGAAACTATAATTTCTTTCCCTTTGGGGCCTCTGGACAGTATATCGAACCATGTTCCATGGGGACTCCTGATACTGAAGTACTGACCTTACTAGAGTGAGAGCTATTTGAGAGCAAATAGTCAATCCTTTTCCTTTTTTTTTCACCTCCATGTTCCTGGCTCTTATCACAGAGTCCAGCACACAGTGGGTGCTCAGTAAATGATAAGTGAAAGAATGTCAGACCTCTGGAACTCCTCTTGGTAGATTCCCTTAAGGGATCTCATCTGGATTCTCATTCCAGCTCTGGGACAGGACACTTGGAGAATTGTCCTCACTGCCCATTCATATCCCCACCTCCCACCATGCCCCTGTCCTCACTCCCAGACTCTGGGCCCCCCTGAGAGACCTGGGTTTGGCTCATCCCAGGGAGAAGACATAGCCCCAGTTGAGACTGTACTACATTAGGGCACAGAAGGTACCAGCTGTGCCTTGGGTAGTGCCAAGTCCCGATTACATTTGGGGGTCAGATGGTGCTGGGGACACCCTTTAGGATGGTAGAAATGCTACAGAGCTACCTCTCTAGGACTGTCATGACACATGGAGTTGAGGACAGAAGGACTTGAGTCCAGCTCATGTGTGGAGAGGTGGTGCTTTTACCTGAGTTAGAATCCAGGAATTGGTCTGGATGATACTTCTCCCATGCTGGCTGGAATGTCAGTGGGCTGTTTTCAAAATACCCATCGCCACTGCAGACAAAGGAAAGAATTGCAGGCCTCTGTCACTCACAGGGTCTTTCCTCTCAGTCGGCAGGTTATAGATTCATGCAGCCAGTTGGAAAGACAGTCACTGGGTATAGCTAATCATTAGGTATCAGCTTGTCAGTGAGTTATGAAGTCAGTTCACCAGCCAGCCAGCATCACTGACTCCCAGCAGTAGGCAGGAGAGGGCAGAGATGGGGGCGAAGGGTGGGACGACCCTAATTTATTCTACATCTCATCACTAACTACAAGAAGCTGGTTATGAGAAAGGAGTGTGACAGAGTTCAGGCCTCCTTCTGATCAGTTTTCCTTCAACTGGGGATGGGACAGAGGGCTGTGTAGGGACAGTATGTGGTGAGGGCTAAGAGCCAGTCTCTGCATTTAGACAGGCATGGATTCAATGCCTGATTCCAGCACTTAGTAGCATGGTAGTCATGAGCAAGTTACTTAACTTCTTGGATTCATAGGTTTTACATTGGTGGAAAAGAGGCAACAGTAGCATCCACCTCACAATATTGTGAGGATTAAGTGCTGTAACAGTTGTAGATCCTTCAGAAATGAGTGAGGACCTGATGCAATGGGTGCACCACCCTCGGTGTTGAGGTTCATGGCACTGCTCCAGGAAAAAGGAAATCCTAGAGAGGAGTTTGTAGCCTCACTCTGAGTGCATGCCTCAGAGCAGTGACTCCTTGTGTTTCCTCCTCTCTGACACAGCTTAGGTGAGGCACCAGGTGTGACACCTTCCACGGGCTACTCAGGAGGGTGTGAAATCCCTAGCTACTTGGATAATTCCACTCTTTTCTCTTTTACAGCACATCAGAAACCAAGTGAAAGCAGTGTAATTATAGGGACAACCCTGAACATGATCTCAGAGAATTTGCAGCAATTACCAGTAACAAATTACATGTGACCTTCACAGTTGATTGCACACACCAGCATCTGGAAATACTGTGGTTGAGAACTGTTGCCAGAGACTGAGTCACCTTCATACAGAGGAATCCACAGCCCCATCGACAGCCCCATGCCTTCACTCTCTGTCTTTCCCACTGACCCCTCACAAGCTGTTGGTGCCTCTGGTTGAGGGGCTAATTCTCAGCCCACCAGAAGTCAGGAAGGCAGATTTCAGCCTCAGATGTCTGGGGTCCAGTTCCTGCTTTGCTACTTCCCAGCTCTGTGACTTGGACAATTACTGATAGATTTTTACCTCAGTTTTCTTATTTGCAGAATGGGTAACAAAGCATATCTCTCTCATGGGGTTGTTGTGATAATCAAATGAAATAATGCATAGTAATGAGTTAGTGTAATGAATTTTGGCTGTTACCACTGTAATATTTGAGAAGTCAAGAGAGGTTGACTAATGTCTGTAGAAATCAGAGAAGTCAAAGCTCTGGGAATTATTACAATGCATGGGGACTGGGATGGGAAAGAGAATGGCTAGGTGAGTGGGTATCTATCTTTTAATTTGAAACAGCAAGAAGCAGGAGGAGGAATAGGTGTGAGTCAGAAGCAACAGCAAGGAGGCTTCATGCCTGTCCTGGGGGACAGGGGTGGGTGCACAGCAAAATCCCTGCCCTGCACCACTTCCTATTGTCTGCTCAGTGCTGACCATCCATCCCTGTCCTACCTGGAGAAGCCCATGAGGACCAGGTTGCCTGGGCGCTGGGTCACATCCCACTGCATACCACCACTTTGGTAGAGAAACAAGGCATAGGACCTGCTCCCATCCGTGGAGAGGATGGCCTGGTAGGTGTTGGTCTGGAGGTTGGTTGGAGACAAACATAAGGATGCCTGTGAGAGATCTGGAGTCTCTTCCCTGATGTCCCATCTCACTTCCCACACCCTTGCCCAGATGTCCACATCATCTTTTCCTGGCCTACGCAGAGCAAGTTAGGGATTGTGTAGGGCAGCTTTCACGCTGGGCATCAAAGCCCCTTCCATGGTAGATTTGCCTGCTTTGTGGCTTCTGTCCAGGGAGGGGCGATAAAGGGCTCTGGTTTAGGATCCAGTTAGAAGAGAGTTTGTGTGAGAAAGCGTCAGGGCTCAGAAAGAGTGACCATGACCCCAGAGAGCTGAGACAGGCCTATTTAGCTTCTGCTGGGATATTTTCAAGGACATTGTCCAAATGGTCCCTTAACCTAAATATTGTAGATGGACCACAGCAGATGAGACTGGAGGTTCTCTGAAGGCAGATGCCAAGCATTGTGCTTGTACAAAGTACGTAACTAATGAATTTGTTGACCTAATGAAGAAATAAGTGACTTTAGATCACACACAAGGACTATAAGAGCTGAGTCCCAGAGGGAAGACCAAGGACACTGTGTTGCGACCATTTCCATAGGATGGCTTTGCAGCTGAAAACCAGAGTTGGAAGTGCAAAAAAACCTCAGTTCCAAGCCTGGTTTCATCATTTGTTAACTGGGTGACCTTGAACAGGTTGCTTAATCTCTCTAACCGTCATCTTCCTCATCTCTAAAATGTGGATAACAGGGGCGCCTGGGTGGCTTAGTCGGTTAAGCATCCGACTTTCGCTTGGGTCATGATCTCACGGTTCGTGGGTTCGAGCCCCGCGTCGGGCTCTGTGCTGACTGCCAGTTCAGAGCCTGGAGGCTGTTTCAGTCTGTGACTCCCTCTCTCTCTGACCCTCCCCTGCTCACACTGTCTCTCTCTCTCCTAAAAATAAATAAAAACATTTAAAAAAATAAAATAAAATAAAATTTGGATAACAATCAGGTTGAGCCATATATAACTGCCAATAACCAGCAAAAATTCCATTTCCCATGTTTCAACCAAATAAATATTAGGTGAGTGCTCAGCAAACAGGTTGAGGGCGAGCGGTGCTGTAATCAACAATCTGTCCTTGAGTCAGAGAGGATGTTAGAAAAGCGGCCCCTGCCTAGGATTCTAGGGTATCTGGCTTCCAAATGGTACACAGGGAGCTATCCATTGGTCCACTCACGCCAAAGGTCCACTGGGCAGGATAGGCGGGGGCCTTGACCCACGTGACCTTTAGGGTCCACCTGGCTTTGTAGTTCCGGGTCTGTGTGAACTTTTTAATCCAAGACTCCACCTGCCAGACTAGCAGGTTGTGCTCATTATAGAGTGTCTCATATTCCTAGGAAAGGAAGGCAGAAAAGACAAGGAATGAGGGTCCAAACTTCATGTCTACTCATGGTTGCGATAGGGTATTCCTGAGTCTGTGTAACAGTCCTTCTGTTTCCTCTCCACCCTCATATTTAAGTATCACTCCCTACCCACACTGAGCCCAGGCTCTGACAGCAGTAATACTTGCATAGCCTCAATATAGCCCTTTGTCTCTCCTTGCTGGCTCCTGGGGGATCCTGAGTGCTGGAGTTTGAAAGGCTTACCTGGTAGAATATGGTTCCAAGGCTGCTGGAAAAATCAGCATCATCCCAGAATGGAGCCACCAGGGCCACAGGATCCCAGCCTGTGAAGCCTCTAAGGGGAGGATTGGGGTAGGAGAAAATCTGGTACTCCGACTCTGGAAATATGATCTGGCCATTATCTGTGAACTGGGCACAAAGTTTCTTCTGATTAGTGTTCAAGGAGGGAGGTAGGAAGGAAATGTCCCAGCTTCGGGCCAGCTCCTCGGAGCTGTGACCCCCAAGTTCTAGATAGAACTTTAGAGATGTCAAAAACCTCTGCAAGGTCAAACATTCATCTCCCTGCCTGATGGGAGAGCCCACTTTACATAGTTCTCATTCAAATGCACATAACCTGCAGGAAACTTCTCTGTTCTAAGTCTTTTCTGACATGGTAGGTTTTGCTCTGCTTCAGTGGCTGACCCCATGCATAGATATAAATACCTATACATGGGTCCATCACAGAGTAGAGCCCTCTGGGTGACTCTCCTCAGCCCCACCCTGAAGCTCCATCCACATCAGGAGGAGTAAGAGGATTGCTACCCTCACTCCCACACCTTGTTGCCCTATCTTAGCATGTCCTGCCTCAGCTCCCCACCCCCACCACTGAGAGCTCCAGGGGCCATGACTGCCATTCCAACTCTTTGGTAGGAGACATGGGGAACTTGGACTGAAGAACTAGGAAATAATTATAGAAAATCTAAACAGCAACAGAAGGTTGTTTCCCAAGTAGAGCTTCCTACTCATAAAAAGATCCCCTGAAAATAGTGGAGAGATTATTAGACTCCAAGATCTCTATACTGAGGTAAAGACACTTTTGTTAATGAGGGTAGGGGGGCATTGCCTAGCCCCCAGTCTTCCTCAGCTGGCACTGTGACATTAAAGAATGTAAATGCAAACTGAGCCAGTGGCAGGGACACAGTAGGTGCCTAGCAGGTGTTGGCTGTTGCATTCGCCCTTCCTTTCCACCACGGTCATTGTCACAAGGCCATCTCTTAGCCTTAAAGAGAAAAGCAGGTCACATGCCCTGCCCTTTGGGCTGCAGCTGCAGACTCACGTAGAGGTAATCCCGAAGAGAGGAGCCAAAAGGAAAGCCAATCTGGGGCCTGAAGAGTGGTGAAGTGAAGTCCACAGTTCTCTTGACAAACTCTTGATCTCCAACATTTGGCCCGTAGGGAAAGAGGGAAACACCTGGACCAGTACAAAGAAGAGCAGGAAGTTCTCATGGGCCCTGACTTCTTTACGGCTGACAGAGAGCTTCCCCAAGCTGCTCCTCCACCCAACTAGGAGCCATCAAGGACTCCTCTCTCCCCCTCTCAACTTGCATTTAATCCAACTCTTCATTTTACCCCTTCAGTGGGTATTCCCACTTGTTTCCAAATAGGTCCTGCTGTCAGAATACCGACAAATTATTCTGCATCTGTTATGGTTCTCATAATTCTTTCAAGGATTAAAAGACAAAACTCCTCCAATGGTATGAAGATGAATACTTGAGATACCATTTCATAGAATGAGACTTGTTTCCCAAGATGGTATTTCTATAGATAACCTGGAAGACCTCCCAGAATTTGTCCTCAGACCCCTTAGAAGTACTTGGGCTCTAGTTTGAAAAACTTTATCCTAAATATTTCTCCAATGGCTCTCCTCCTTTCTTTCCTAGCAGTCCTCTCCTGGTTTGCTTGGAATACCACAACAGTGTGTATATAGTTCTCCTGGCCTCCTGCAAGTTCATCCAACATCCCAACCACCATAGCATCATTCATAAATACAACTCTAGCCGTGTCTTCCCTGGCCCCTCACATGGCAGCCTCATTTTTCAACACTCTTCACCTTGCTTCCAGCACCCCTAAGTGCTTTGGGGAATCTCCTCCCTGTGTAACACGGGGACTACTTTTCACGTCTACACCTTTATTCCAGCTCTTTAAGCCTCCTGCCTGCTTGGAATGCTTCCCCTTCCCCAACTCCTATTCATTCTTTCCAGGAGCCTCCTCTTTACCATGAGCACACCCCAGTGCCCTCCAGAGGCCTTCCATTGTGTTTCTAATACCCTGCACTTATTCCTCTAATTATACCTACCCAGGCAGTAGATCTGTCTCTTACTGAACAGCACCTTAATCATTTCTCTATCTCAACCTCCTAGCCTAGTGCTATGTCCAAAGCAAGCCCTCAGCACCCAGCTCCGATGCTGTCTCATTGTCCCCTGTGAAAGCTTACAACCTGAGAGGGTAGCCCATGAACAAGCACGCTGAGTCTGAATATTCAGTTACATCACCCTTCTAAAGTGGAGATGAGGAACAGCTGGACTTCCCATGGCCCAGATGAGGCAGTAGAGGTATCCACAAAACTGGCTCCCCCAGCTACCCACAAGGGTCCTCACTGGTAGATACAATCAAGCTGCTACAACTACAGCATCCACATCTAGTCAATCTTCTCCAACCTAAGGTAGAGGGGCCCCAGGTCTACAGAATCACTTACCTTTCTCAGGCTTGATAGGAGCTGGGGCAGCAGTTGAGTGTGTGCTTGTGGATGTGCTGAGAGTGGATGTTGTAAGGGTCTGGGATGTTGTGCTTCTCTGGCTTCCTGTCCTCAGTGAGGTTGTGATTTTTCCTGGGTGTGCAGGGAGAGAAAACTGGAGTGGGTCTTACAGTTGGAAAGTAGCAGAATCAAAGACTCACAGACTTCAGGAGCTGTAAGAGACAACTAGAAAGTCTCTCGCCTGTCTTTTGGTCACAACCAAATCACTGTGCACATCAGCAATTGTCTGCTGGGGCAGAGGGAATTGCGAACCTATCGCTCACCACATCCCCATTCAGTTCCTCCTCTTTTGGACCTGCCCTCAACACCAGCCTGGTAGTGCCAACTCACCATCCTCTCTCAAGCACTCCTGAATTGGCTGAATTGAGCCAATGGGGCCACTGTAAGAGACGGAGATGTTGGAATCCCCACCTACCTGGTGTCTGAGTCTTCACAGTGGGGCCTGAGGATGCAGTGGAGAGTGGGAAAGTGCTGATAACAGATAGAGGAGCAGAGTGTCCTGTGAATAGAGTGGTGGAGCTCCAGGTGACTGCAGGGCTAGAGGCTGATGGAGAGAATGAGGAATCACTAGTTGAAGTAGAGAAACTTGATGTGGTCTGAGCTGTGCCCATATTACCAGAGGAAGTAGAGTCAGAGGAAGCATAGTCTGTGGATGGCCGTAGAGTAGGGAATGGACTCTTCGAATACTTAGATGCTGAAGAAGTATCAGGAGTGGTCTTGATTGAAGAGTATGTTGTAGGTTGAAATGACCAAGTCGATGTGGATCCAGCAACACTGTTGTTATTACTCTTAGAACTCATATACATTGGCCTTGCAGTAGGGTTAGTAGTAGAGGCTACTGTTTGAACAGTTGCAGGTTGCTCAGAGATGGGTGTGCTTGACTTGTCCACTGAGGAAGTTGGGACTTGCATTGTATTTGTCATGGAGTTACTGACAGAACCCATGGAGGGAATGGTCACTGCAGTCATGTTTTTATGGATGGCTGAGCTTAGGGATGTTGTCTGAACTTCACTTGTAACCAAAACTGTAGAAGAATGAGAGGCTACATCACTGAGGGTGGTAGAGAAAACTGTAGCTGGCCCTTCAGTTGCCCCAGATGACAAAGTTGGCATTGCTGTTTGGGTTCTGTGGCCGTCCTTGACTGGGCTGGAGATAAGTGTTGTGCTGGTGCCTGAAGGTGACAGAGTGTGGGCAGTGGTTTTTGGTGATCTGTGCACATTTGATGTAGATGAAGGAGGTGAAGATGTAACTGTTGAGAAGGTGTCAGTCACCTGGGAGACTGAGGTTATGGCTTCAGATGCTCTGGTGCTTCCTATTATTTGAGTCTGAGCCTTCTGGGAAACAGCTGATGTTTCTTGAGAGGTGCTGGGGACAATAATGGATACCAATCCCATGGTTCCTAAAGTAGTGTCATGACTTGCTGCAGTGGATAACAAGTCAGTTTTTGATTCAGTTATGTGGTTTTCCCTGGAGAAAGTTGGTGAGAAACTCTTGATCATATCTGAGGTGGATGTTCCTGGAGAAGAACTTCCTAAAGTTGTTTGGCTGCTTGCTGTGGATGAAGAAGTTGTAGCTGTGCCCACCAAGATGGTGTCTACCAATAAAGTGGTATCTGTCACCAAGGAGGCTGGTGTCTTGGTGTGTGGTTCTCCAGTGGTCACTGTGCTTTGTGTCTGGTGGATTTGGGAAATGGCTGATGTGTCAAGTGAGGCACAAGAAGCAGGGGATGTTGATTGTCCTCTTGGGCCTAGTGGTGTTGAAACTACAGAGCTCTGAAAAGTGGTGCTTTTTATGGGAAGTGATGTGCCTCCTGAGGTTCCCAGGGTGGTGTCAGGACTGCTCGGTGATGTCCACAGTTCTGGGGTAGTGGCAGTGGCCTGAGTTGTGTGTCTGTCCCTGGAGGGTGCTGTTGTGAAGGTTGTCACTTCACCTATGGTGGATGTATCCTGAGGAACACTTTCTGAGGGCAAAGGTCCACTTGATTTGAAAGAAGAAGTTGAAGATGTGACTGTCTTGATTGTGTCTGTCATAGAGAAGATTAAACTTGTGGTTTGGGATTCTTGTGTGGTTTGTGGACCTTGAGTATGACCTATCTGGGAAACAACTGATAATTCTTGAGAAGAGGTGTTTGTAGAGAATGGTGTTGACTGCCTTGCTGGGTCTACTGTTACAGTTTGTTGGGATGTGTGTTCATCCAGTAAGGATGAAGATGATGCAGGTGTAACTGTTTTGATGGTTTGTGTTACATTGGAGCTTCTGCTGACATGAGTATCTCCAGTGGTCCCTGTGCCTTGTGTCCAGCGAGTCTTGGAAATTGCCACTGTTGTTTCCTGAGGCGATGTGCTCAGATAAGGGTGTGTGGTTGGCACTCCTTCTTCATCCATTGTTGAGACTCTAGAGGTAACCCAAGAAATATTGCTAGTTATTGAAGAAGATGGGCTTTCTGTAACCAATACAGTGGAAGCCATTGGTGTTGAAAACAGTTCTTTTTGTGACTGAGTTGTGTGACTGCTATCACTGAAGGATGAGGAAGTGGATGTTGTTTTACCTGGAATGAATGAGATTGAACTGCTGGAATGAGGCCATCTTGTTGTCTCTGTGTCTTCATGTGGGTGGGTATAAGAAATTGTAGATGTTTTTGGAGCTGGAATACTGGTAGACCATGGTGTTGATTGTATTTCTGACTGCCATGTTGTAGAAACATTAGAAATAAATGGAGGAAAACTACTAGTTATAGGTAGTGATGTGTCTCCTGTGTTTTGTACAGTGGTGTCTATTGAGGTTGATGCTGTCAACATCTCTGATGCTATCAAAGGTGTTTTACTGTCACTAGAAGTAGATGAAGCAATTATTTCACTTGAAGAAGATGTTGCCAGAGGAATTCTCCTTGACAGAGTATGTCCACTGGGTAAAGATGAAAGAACTGATGTGGTTATTGCTGTAATTTTGCTGTTTTCAGATTTTCTGGTGGTCTCTGTGCCTGGAGTCAGGTATTTCTGAGTAGATGCTGATGTTTCGGGAGTAGATGAACTGGAAGGGGCTACTGTTGATTGTACCTCTAGATCAGTTTTCATGGATACTGTTGAAGTGGTTGGAATAATAGTTTTAGTAATAGGAATTGATGTGTCCTTTACATTCCCTATAGTGGTATCTGTTGAGGTTGGTACTGTCAATGAAACTGATGTTGTTAGAGGTGCAATGCTGATCTTGGAAGGGGATAAAGTGCTTGCTTTCCCAGAGGTGGATATCTCCTGTGAGATGACCTCTGTAAAGGTATGTCCACTTAAGGAAGACGAAGGAGTTGAAGTGATCAAGGCTGAGATAGTACCGGTTTGAGATTCTCTGGTGGTGTCCATGGCCTGAGTCCTGTGGCTTTGAGAAGACACTGTTGACTCTGGAGTAGAAGTGATGGAAGAGGGTGCCGTAGAGTGTTCCTCTAGTCCAGTTGTCATGGAGACTGTTGAGATGACGGGAGTAAAACTTCCAGGTTCAGGGTGTGTTGTGTGTTCTGTATTTCTTACTGTGGTGTCTGTTGCTGTTGGTGTCAAGAGGTTGTTGGATGTCATGAATAGTGTGTTGCTTGCATGGGAAGAGGCTGGGGTGTCATCGTTGGGGGTTGTTGATGTGGGCATTTCTGACACTGTGGAAGGTTTATGGCTGACACTGGAATAAGACGAAGTCCTTGCTTCCCCAGAGTTGGATGTCTCCTGTGAGATGCTCTCTGTCAGGGTGTGTCCACTTAGGGAAGATGAAGGGGTTGATGTGATCACTGCTGAGCTAGTGCTGGCTTGAGATTCTCTGGTGGTGTCCATGGTCTGAGTCCTGTGGCTTTGAGAAGACACTGTTGTCTCTGGAGTAGAAGTGATGGAAGAGGGTGCCGTAGAGTGTTCCTCTAGTCCAGTTGTCATGGAGACTGTTGAGATGACGGGAGTAAAACTTCCAGGTTCAGGGTGTGTTGTGTGTTCTGTATTTCTTACAGTGGTGTCTGTTGCTGTTGGTGTCAAGAGGTTGTTGGATGTCATGAGTAGTGTGTTGCTTGCATGGGAAGAGGCTGGGGTGTCATCGGTGGGGGTTGTTGATGTGGGCATTTCTGACACTGTGGAAGGTTTATGGCTGACACTGGAATAAGACAAAGTCCTTGCTTCCCCAGAGGTGGATGTCTCCTGTGAGATGCTCTCTGTCAGGGTGTGTCCACTTAGGGAAGATGAAGGGGTTGATGTGATCATTGCTGAGTTAGTGCTGGCTTGAGATTCTCTGGTGTTGTCCACGGTCTGAGTCCTGTGGCTTTGAGAAGACACTGTTGTCTCTGGAGTAGAAGTGATGGAAGAGGGTGCCGTAGAGTGTTCCTCTAGTCCAGTTGTCATGGAGACTGTTGAGATGACGGGAGTAAAACTTCCAGGTTCAGGGTGTGTTGTGTGTTCTGTATTTCTTACAGTGGTGACTCTTGAAATTGGTGTTGAGGAGACCTCAGATGTCATGGGTAGTGTGTTGCTTGCAGGGGAAGAGGCTGAAGTGTCATCTGTGGAGGTTGTTGACGTGGACATTTCTGAGGGTGTAGAACTTTTGTGGCTGACACTGGAAGGA